TATAAGAATTTTTGAGTAAGGACATTTTGACCTAACAATACTCTGGGTTCAAATTATCCCAAGTGTGAAACAAAAATTGGCTGTCTTGAATGCATCTTGTGCATTGCGATAGTGATTTTGTGACTTGTAACCAACTTTCCTTTTTTCCCCCCAGAATTTTTCCAGCCCTGCCTGAACTACACAACAGCAAAAACTAACTCTTAATGTGCTGCTTGCTATCAGTTTAAATTGGAAAGGTTGATGTGGGAGTAGAGAATTGAAAATTAAACACATAGCCAAGCAGGAAAAAAAAATACAACATCGATGCTGTTTGAAAAAACTCTTTGCTAGAGCAATGTTAGAATTTATGTAGGTGGATTGCAGGTGGATTGTGTTGTGCTTTATTTTAAAGTCACATCTTGCAACATGTGTGTTTGTGTGCACACTATTGTCGTTCAGAAGAAGTATTGCTGCTGCAAGTTGTTTTTCTCTGTATGTATGGAGACAGAAAAATAGATGACAGACAGACAGACAGACAGACAGACAGACAGACAGACAGACAGACAATTGGTACTATGTTGCTTTGGTTGGTGAGTTAATTAATTAAGCTTGCTATTGGTGCATTCTGTATCTGCTAAGGTTTACTGAACTTCAGAGTACTCTTAGAAATGTGTACTTTGAGCTACTTGGTTGAGATTAGTGTACATTCTGTACATGCTCAGATCATTTCCTGAGCCAATTAAGTTTAATTGCCTGGGGCTTCTTCTGAGCTGACCCCTTAGGAGAGTTTGTGCCAGGTATGTTTGGGAGTGTGTATCTTGGTGAGAAGTTCTAACCCCAAGTCCCCATTAATAGCAGTTGGCCATGTTTTTACTGAAGAACTGAACATGGGTCTGATGAAATGTTTAATCCCCCACAGTAGCAGGCAAAGCATTATTACTTCTCCTATGTTACATTAGCAGATTGTCAGCCAACAGCTGTTTTTAGACTAGTAAATTTCTTTTTAGGGAAAGAGAAGCAGGAAAAATTCCCAAGTGGCTATTTTGTCCAGCATTTGTCAGCAAGTTGCTCATGTTTACTAAGTTTTGACTCCTGCTGCTGATGCCGAATTTTACATAGCCACCCTGGGCTCAACTGAACATGCTGTCAAAAGTCATGCTCAGAAGCTGCTGGAGTCTGGATGGGATGAAACATGAAACAAGTTAAACCTAAATCCAAGCAAGATTTGAGTTACTATTTGTTCATCATGGTTCAAGGCCAACTCCAGTGATGTCTCTCAAAGGGGTTGCATTGCCCTTGAGATCAGAAGTCCTCCTTGACTCATGACTACTGTTAGATGGGCAGAGGAGGCCATGACCAAAAGACCTTTTCCCGGCTTCCTCTGGTATATCTTCCCATTTCCAGGCGTGGGGCTGAGAATCTGGCTGCAATGTCTCATGACCTACCACCATCTAATTAGATTTCTGTAATGCACTTTTCACGGAGTCCTAAAGGAGTTTTTCCAAAAGGTAACTGGACTTTCTTGGGGTTTTTTCCCCTTGAAAACATTTCGCTTCTCATCCAAGAAACTTCTTCAATTCTTACATGTAAGGAAATTCAGAACCGAAGAAGCTTCTTGGATGAGAAACGAAATGTTTTCAAGGGAAACCCAAGAAAGTCCAATTGTCTTTTGGAAAAGCACCTTTACATGACCTGGACGATTGAGAATCTCCATAGACACTTTGCACGGAGCTGCCTTTAACAACCATTTGAAAAGTGCAGTTGGTTCAAACTGAAGCAGCCTGCATATTGACTGGCACTAACTGCTCTGAGCATATTACATGTAATTGGCTTGACCTGCATTGATTGCCAATAGACTATGAGATGCTATTCAAACACTTAGTTCTCACTTTTAAAATTGTATCTGGCTTGGCACCTGGATTTTTCCAGGACTGTTTACCACCACGGGATTCAGCCTGACAAAGGAGATCCTCCCCAAAAAGGCTGCACGTAACACCCTATTTGTATGAGGTGAAGGGGACTAATGCTACAAGGTTCTGCTTTGCTGTTATTGTGTCTACATCAGAATAGAATAGAATAGAATAGAATAGAATAGAATAGAATAGAATAGAATAGAATAATTCCTCTAGAAATGAGGCAGTCCTCCCCCAGCAATGGCTTTCTGAAAACTTTGAAAGGCCGAACATTTCCAGAGAGCTTGCAAATGATTGCAGTTGTTACTTCTTGAATATCTATTTTTTATTGTTACATATATAATCATTGCTTTAATCATTAATTTAATGTTTTATTTTAAGGTTTTAAGGGGTTTTTTTTCCTGCATATTTTCAGTGCATTTTAGCTGCAAACCAGCATGAGTCATGATGTTTGGGTGGTATTCATGTTTGATAAATAAATCCAGGAAATAAATCAGTCCTGGAGAGTTGGAGGAGTGTAGGGCGCTGTGTCATTCATTTGCCCTCTGGTAAATTAGTGAGTTGTGATTGGCAATGGCCCTTTGACAACTATTTTGTCAATAGGCAATCCCTCTTCCAGAGTAGTCATTTTATGAGAAGACACATGATCAAAATCTCTGTGTGCTTCTCAGCCCCCACAAATTGCCTACCTCCAGTTTTACACAATCTAAACGCCTGCATATGATTACATAGGAGAGAATCCCACTGATTTCTTTGGGGAGACAGCATGTACTTCTCCCAGCGTGTCTAAAATAAATTAACTGATGCATCTGCACGCACAATGTAGATATGTAAATAAACTGTGTATGCCTGGAACAAAGTCAAAACTTGATCCCAAATCCCTCTTCAAGTTTCAGATCTATATTTCAGGAGCAGAGGTGTCTGATTTAGTGTCTCTCAAGAAATTGTCTGCGCATCAGTTGACCTGCTGGAAAGTGGTGATAGAAAGTCCTCCAGAGCTTTTAGAATCAGGTATGTCCTCTCCTTTGGTGTTATCTCCCCAGCCTCCACTTAAGTTAGCAATCGGTAGCATTAGCAAAAAATAAAAATAATTGCCTGCCTTGGTTTGTCCAGCTGAGATCTGTCCTTGGGTGATGGTTGGCTTGTTCAGGGGGCTTTTTGCACTCTTGACAGGAGGCAGCTGCTTGGCTCTTATGCCTGCACTGGCAGCCTCTAAAAAAGCACATTTTTTCTATCATTTGTTATGTAATATTTGTTCTCCATAGGCCAAAAATGCAAACGCCACTGTAATAGATGAGGTTCATCTTTTATCCTCCCTACTGGGTTTCCTCTCTTAGAATTAAACAAAGCAAGGAAAGCATGTAGGTTATATAGCTTCTGGAATTTTGTCCAACCCCTTCACCAACAGTGGCTATAAGAGGCATTTGTACTTCCTTCTAGATACCCTCTCTATGTGTGTTGAGAGTATGTCTATCTCTCCTTAAATTGTGTCTGGCTGCATTATGAAGCATAGAGCGGCTTGCAAACCCTCCTGTCCAGGTAATGTGACCAGTGGGCAAGGGCCTAGAATGGCATAGTGGCTAATATTCCAATTATTGTTCAATCTTTTTTTGAAGACCTCCAGTGATAGAACACTCAGAACTCCAGGAGACATGCTATTCCATTGATTAATTGTTCTTGCTGTCGGGAAATGTTTCCTTAGTTCCAAATTGGATCTCTCTTTAGCAACCTTCCACCCACTGCTTCTTGTCCTATCCACAGATACTTTTGAAATTAAATCAAACCCCTCTTGTTTGGGACAACACTTCAAGTACCGGAAGATAGTAATCACATCATCCCTAATCCTTTTCTTCATAAAGCTAGACATATCTAATTCCCACAACCGTTCATCATACAGTTTAGCCTGCACATTCCTTATCATTTTTGTTGCTCCTTTCTGTATTCTTTCTAGGGCTTCAGCATTTCCCCCCTCCCCCGTATCATGTGACCAGAATGGTATGCAGTATTCCATGTGTGACCTCACTAGTGCATTATAGTGGTACTATCACTTTTTGTAATCTTGATGCTATCTCTCTGTTGATGCAGCCTAAGATTGCATTGGCTTTTTTTGCTGCTACAGCACACTGCTGGCTCATATTTAAATGTTGTCCACTAGGACACTAAGTTCCCTAACATACTTACTACTGTTGAGCCAGATAGTGCCTGTGCTTTTGTTTTTTCCTGCCTAAGTGCAGGACCTTACCTTTCTCACCACTGAACACATCTTATTGGATAGGGCTCAAAATTTAAGTCTGTCAAGATTTTGATTTGGGATTACATGCTTTACTAGTACTGCAATGAACCTGAACCAGAGACTTTCAGCCCACAGCTCAGGTGTCTTGCTAAAAGATTGCTTCTTTATAATGTAGACACAGATTAAGGAAAAGCTTTAACTGGAAGTTCCTTTGCAGAAACTCCTTCTTGATGCTTGACCTGCAGAAGGCTAACAGACTCTTCTAGCTATTTTGAGCCTTGCAGCCAACATTGATGGAGGTGGGCTGACCCTCAATGATCCATGTGAATGGCAAGGTATCGACTAAGGAGAAAATGGATGAGAAGGAAAAGTTTTTGTTGTTGCTGTTGCTGGTTTGTTTGTTTTTGTGCACTGAGTCAGTATTGACTCCTGGCAACTGCCTGAACTAGGCTCTGCAATCTTTTAGGCAAGAAGTTGTTTTTTCCTTGCCTCCTTCCTTGGGATGAGAGAGAGATGACTAGCCCGAGATCACCCAATTGGTTTTCTGCTAAGGCAGCACTAAAATTCACAGTTTCTCAGTTACCAGTTTGGTGCCTTAATCATTACACCCCTCTCCCTTGGCAACTTTAAGATGTGTGGACTTCAACTCTCAGAATGCTGGTTGGGGGATTCTAGAAGTCAAATCTTAAAGTTGCCAAAGTTGAGAAACAGTGTGCTACATCACATTGGCTCTCTAATATCTAGTTAAGAAATCTTTAATTCCTGTGTTTGCATGGGACTTAATTATATTCCTAGGTCTCAACAGATGGGTGCATGTGAATGAACGATCTTCCCCTCTGAGTTCTGATTTCATTTTATTATTTCATTCCATTCTGTTCCATTTCTAGCTTTGAGCAGAGCTTTGACACCATGGTACTAACTTTTGGGGACTAGTATTTCCTGGGCCGTGACTTGTTCTGAGAGAGCAAAGTGCTAAGGCAGAGCCTGTCTGCCGGTTATTTGTCCTGTCTGATCTGAACACTTTTCCTGAGCTGTGTATGACGGAGGGGGGGGTGGTCGGGAACTACTCCTGTGTGCTTAGAAAAGTGATTGCCAGGTTCTGAACTTCTTAAACTGATCTCCGTCAGCAGTGACAAGAGCTTTGGACAGAGCTCCCAGCTTTCAGGTCTCAGCTGTGATAAACTAGGCTCAAATCATTTAGTCCCTGGAGTGTGTGTTGGCATCTCTGCTCCTCTTAAGTTCGGGATTGTCGCTCTGTTGCTGATGGGGAAAATTCAGAGAGGGGCTTTTCAGTGGATGTGCAGCCGAGAGCATCAGCAGTGGGTGTTTCCAGCATCCTTGAATGCTGCCTCCTGCTGCCTTTAGAAGAAGGCAGCTCTCAGGCAATGGGGGTGGACAGGCGGCAGAGAGCCTCGGCAGCCCTCTCGCTCGGCTTCCTCTCTTTAATCTTCTCTATCACAGCCTTCAGCAGCAGCTACTGGTGTGAAGGAACCCAGAAAGTAGCCAAACCATTCTGCAGTGAACTCGCAGGTGGCACCCACTGCATTGGGATGAACAGCCCAGGTGGAAATGACAGCAGCGTGGTTCAGTACATCTGGGAGACGGGAGACGACAAGTTTGTGGATCGAAAGTTTCATGCCGGTATTTGGCATTCTTGTGAAGAGATGATCAGTGGAAAAGGTGAGTGCCCTTCTGGGAAACAGTCTTCCTGATTTTTTTTTTTTTTGATTTTTTTTTTTTTGAGAGAAGATAGTTGTGTCAATTCTTTCACGTTTTGGCTGGGTGGTTGTGTAGCTCTGTGTGCAACTTATGAAAGTAATTTGGTATTGTCTTCTGGATTTATTTTTACACCCCAATATGGTTTATGATTTCTCAGTGGTCTCCCATCCAAATAATAATCAGGTTTGTTGCTGTTTGATTTTTCAGGATCATCCAGTCAGATTGCTGTTTCCACCTGGCAAAAACAATGTTCAGATTTCAGCTGTTTCATTTATTTATTTTTTTAGTCTTACTCTTCCATCTGTATAATGGAATCATTTCTTTTCATATGACCTACATCCCATTTATAAACAAGCTGTTAAATTACACATATCATGTTAGTCTATAATGAGATTTGATTTGACTTTGCATGTTACAGTATAAGGTTTGTCAGCCATGATTTATGTGCTAACACATGTAAATGTAACCATGATGATTTGATTAATAAATTGGGGATAAAACAAACCATGTCTTAGCACATATCCAACCAATTCTAAAATAATCTTCAAAGACTATGAAATGCTTTAAGGGAGGATACAATCTATTACCTGATGGCATCTGTTGCAAAGTTATTTCCCAAAGCTGTGTTGATAATTATTGCTCATCCTTTTAGGCAACTCACAGATCAAAATTTTCTTGCTATTCTAATATGAGGTTGGAAGGGGAGAAAGGATTATAGGGATTAAAATGATTTGTCCCATATTCTCCTTATTCAATACAAGAAGGGACATCATGGAATGCTATTTGGAGCGAAATGGGCCCATTGCCTGATTTGGCAGAAACTATACAGAGCCTTAAACTCCAGTCATAATAAATATTTAGACTTTAAAGAGCCATAAGACACTCTATTGTTTGCAAAGAATACAGCAGAGTTAACACTAAAATGAATAGTATTTGGGTGGAAAAGAAATTAAAACTCATAATGTTATCTCTTTCACCCAATTTATAAAATAACTAGAAAAGTGTTTAAAAGAGTAATCTTTGATGAGGTAGATAGCTATATAAATATATTTAATAAACAAACAAACAAACAAATAAACAAATAAAAAAGTAAAAAAAGTGGGATAGAAATTGTTTCACTTTGTTTACAATTTAGGACACATACACACAAGCACACCCATACACACACTTTTATGCAGAATAATAATTGGTGTTAAGTCTGGGGACTTTGGAAGAACTTGTATTTTAAAATACAGCATATGATTGAAAAAGATAAAACCGTGTTCCCTTATTCAGAAGTTTGGGGCTACCAGTAAAGATGGATTCTGGGAGAATCAGGATAATTGCCTTTTACCTGTATTAGCAAATAAGAGGGAGTTGTTGATGCCATTCATAATGTTTTAATGCATGAAGAATATAATAGCTTTTATTAGGTATATGGATTCATCGCACTCCTTTATTGGGTATATGGATTCTTCAGACTCTATACATTTACCAAAACATTAGCAGAATGATTCAAATTATAACTGAGCTGAATAGGAAACCTGAGTAGGCAGCCAAGGACAGAATTAATGTTGCAGATCAAGTGTAGGATTTCCAAACCTTTATTTTCTCCTCAAATAGAGGCTGAGTACAAAACATTCAATTGTAATGATCACTGACAATTGCCACACAGCACCCTTTTAGTTACTTGTAATTGTTTTTCCTGAGCAAGAATAAATCAGTTTATGAGGACATGTGGGGGAATGAAGAGAACACATATTGATGAAACTTACGTTTGGAGAAGTTTTCAGGCTGATTTTTCTTTGAGAACTGCTGTCAGCTCCCTCTCTTGCCATAGATATTAATATAAGATGTAGATACATATTTCCAAAAGTTTTGGAACTGTCATTTGCTGAAATGACCTATTCTTTCACCCCCAAAGCATAGAAGGGGAGCCACAAAGTCACCTCTTGTTTGACCATACAAGGACTAGTTGGCCTCTGGAAAGCCTTGAGTCTTGATGCTCACAGAGGAAAGCTTTTTATTTATTTATTTGTTCAACTTGTATGCCGCCTTGAGTCTTCGGAGAAAAGCGGCATACAAGTTGAACAAACAAATAAATAAAAAGCTTTCCTCTGTGAGCATCAGCCCTGCTGGAGAAAACTGCTCCATTTTATAGGATGGTAGTACTGAGATTCCTAAGGAAATGATGTTAAAACGCACTGAGCCTTCGGAAAGCTGAGCCCTCTTATGAATGCTGTGCCATACTTATTTGTAGGAGGGAAGCAAAATAAATCTTCCACCATGTTTACTTTTAATGAAAAGGGGTTCTCTGTTTTCAAGGAATTGAATAAAATAAATACAGTTTTGCTCCCTGACTTCATGACCAAATTGTAGCCTCTGGAGACAACTGACTGCCACTGTGGTTTCCTGCCATTTTTAAGCTTGTAGCAATAAAAGTATTATGGGCCAATTCTTTACCTCAGGTTAGAACAAACAAATTCCTGAAATTTCTCTGCCTCGAACGAAAGAAAAAAGATATCTTTATTCCTGCCAATGTGATGTGACTCTTCCCCACTTCATTTTCCAATCCTCTGTGCTTCTGACCCTCAGTGGCTAAGACACTGAGCTTGTTGATCAGAAAGGTCGGCAGTTCGGTGGTTTGAATCCCTAGTACAGGTCTCCTGCATGAGCAGGGGGTTGGACTAGATGACCTCCAAGGTCCAACCCTGTTACTGTTACCCCTACTAAAAAAAAACAGGCCTCTCTTCTGAATGTATATATGGCAAACCCATCCTAGTCATGGTGCTACATAAGGTAAAGGTAAAGGTTCCCCTTGCACATATGTGCTAGTCGTTCCCAACTTTAGGGGGCTGTGCTCATCTCCATTTCAAAGCCAAAGAGCCAGCGCTGTATGAAGATGTCTCTGTGGTCATGTGGCCGGCATAACTAAACACCAAAGGCGCATGGAGCAAAGGTGGTCCCTATTTTTCTACTTGCATTTTTTACGTGCTTTCAAACTGCTAGGTTGGCAGAAACTGGGACAAGTAACGGGAACTCACCCTGTTACACGGCACTAGGGTTTCGAACCGCTGAACTGCCAACCTTTCAATTGACAAGCTCAGCATCTTAGCCACTGAGCTACTGCTTCCCTGTGGTGCTACATAAATCCTCCCAAAGAGAAGATTCTGAAAGTTTTGGCTCCACCCACTCTTGAGACAACTCTGTGGGTCACAGATGAGGTACTGGAAGCCAGTTGCTAGTCCTGCCCTGATAGCTCATTTTCTTTCTACTAGTTTCCAGTCAGCCCTCATTGAATCCCTGTAGATGGAAGATGCATATCACTGTTGCTAGTCTTACCACTTGGTCTCTGGCCAATGGATCACAACGGCTTTCTAATTTTTGTTATCTTTTTTTAATATTAGATCTGATTTTCATCAGGATGGCAAAATACTCAAGTCAGTTGCCTGCTTCTGCAAATTACCAGCTGTTGGCAAGCTGAGCACCCATTCACATATCTGCTCTTATTTCTTTGAGTCCAGGCTGCATCATGCATTGGCAATCATTGTGAAAATGCAATACATTTAACAGTTTCTATATTCTTCAAAGAAGTGCTTTATATTTAGTGCTTTATATTTATATTACATTATTTCTGAATCTCCTTGTACCAAGCATACAGAAAGTACAGAGGAATTTAGATCTGGCTTCCAAAAGGGGATGGGGGTGAAACTATTACTGAGCCTTGAGAAGAAGGAAAATGTGAGACTCAAAACCACCCTGCCTTGTTCTCTTTAAAAAGGAGGGTGGGGAAGCAAAGGTTATGAACAGACTTTCAAAATTCTGTTAATATACCTTACAACAATAAAGTAGCATCACTGAAATTCCACTAGTATCTGTTTCTTGACCTGGCCTGTCTCAAAGCAAATTTCATATCAGATTCTGCCCAAGAGAAGATGTTTTTCACAGCAGGTCCCATATATCTCTTTCATGGGACTGGACTGGCAAGATTAGAATTACCCAAACTGGAAAGATTTATACAATGATTTACCTAAAGTTTTCTTCACACTCCATTCCATTCTAAGCAGTATTCTACTGAGTGACTCCAGAGGCAATTTGGAGCAGTGCAGGGGTGTGATCATAGATTAGCGCAAAACAACTTTGATATTCAGATGATTCCAGCTACAAGATAAAATAAGCAATGCTAGAAGAGACAACACCATCCACTTCAGCGAAGGACAGTAGACAAAGAAACCACCTACTGAAGAGGTAACGCATAGCTTTGTCCTTCAGAAGACTGACAGCTGCTCTCCATTCTATATCAACTAATAGTAAAGCAGTTGTAATGGTCTGAGGTGATCATTACAGTCATAGAGAGAGATATTGTAGTAAGGGGCAGAAAGAGAAACTGGACCAAATTCTGGGTTTGAAAAAAAGGTTTCAGCCCCAGTTTATGGAGTAATCTTTGGCAACAATTACAGCATATTCAGCTGTTAAATCAGAAGAGAAAGTAAATGGCTAAGAATAGAATAACAGAGTTGGAAGGGACCTTGGAGGTCTTCTAGTCCAACCCCCTGCCCAGGCAGGAAAAGAACTTGAAGAGGTTTAGAGAAAGGGAAGAGGTTTAGAATTACAGTAACTTTTCCAGGGAAGGAAAGTCACTGAGAAAATTAGAAAATTAAAATAAGAACAAAGGAGCTATGAGATAAACTCTTCAGCGTTGGAAAAGTTTTGTCCATCAACTCCAAAACCTAATCTGTGGAAAAATCCAGATTAAAGCACCCACAACAAGAGGTCATCTAGCCTCTGAATAAACACATCCAGGGATAAAGAGACTGCCATCTCTCTGGTCACCCAGAGCACTTAAAGCAATGTTTCCCTTTTTGTTATTATTATTTTATTTAAAATAATATTTTATTAAAAATACAAAGATTAAAAAATTAATACAAACTAAGGAAATATAAAAAAGAAAAAAGTAGAAAGGGCAAAGAGAAAAGGAAAAAAAGGGGGAAGGGACAATACATTTTAAAAGACATAATAAAGAAATATAGAAAGAAATGATTTCCCCCTTCATCAATACAAGCACAAACACTTTCTTAACCCCTTCTCTAATGCTGCAACTAAAAAAACCATGCCAAATCTCATCTATTGGCAAATAATGCAGCCACATTTTGCAGTCAGCAAAAGATATGAGAAATAACAACAACACACATACACTATAATATATATGTTATTATATATATACCTTATTAAATGCCCTTCAAATGATGTCCGACAAAATTTATTTCTTATCATCTTTTCTTCATCACCTCTCAATTTTAATACCATAGCTTGTCACTTTCTCTAAAAATACCACAAAAATTCTCTTCTTCCCATATCTTATCTACAACTCTTAAAAGCTTCATCATTCAGTCCTAGTCAAGAAAAGCTGTAATATAGTCTAACCTTGATCAAATAAGCCAACTTTATAAACATTTATTTTACTTTTAAAAGTCTTGATATGTATTCTTTTTCAGTAATGGCTTTTCTTTCTCTCTTTTCCTTTTCTCAGGAATTCTTTCATAAATATAATACATCTCTTTGGATTTACTTTGGATTTATAATACATTTACTTTGGAAGTAAGAAATTTGTCCAAATCACTTTTCTGAATTAAAACATACTTATCCAAGTCACTGTTTTGGCTTATTTGGGTGTCCCTTTTAACTGATAAAATCTCAGTCGATTTCATTTGTTAGTCCTATATAACTTCCTTGTCAATATTATTCTTGCATCCTGTCAATTTTAAATCTGAATCCAAACCAGCCTGATTGTCAGTTATATTTTCTTCTAATTCTTTTTTAAGATCATTCTTATTGTATGAGACAGGTAACAATAGGTACATTGTTATTTATTTATTTATTTATTTATTTATTTATTTATTTATTTATTTATTTATTTATTTATGAGATTTATATGCCGCCCTATCTGCAGCCGGACTTAGGGCTGGAACAATCAAATATCCTTGAATTAAAATAGTTTTTTTTTCCATTTTGTATTAGTGAATCTTTTCCTTTAATTATAATCTTGAATTTTTTTTAGTTGCTTCTAGTAATGAACTTCACAGTTTCTTCTTATCATATTTTTCTCTCATCCAGAACATTTCCTCAGTAAAATACTTCCTATAGTTTGTTTAAAATCATATTAAAATATAAACAAATATATTATTATTTAATATATATTAAAGATATATAATCTATATATATCAGAATCTTTATATATTTCTAATATGATTTTAAACAAATTACAGGGAATATTCCAATTTTTCTTTTTCAAAGTTTTGTTTCCAGTCAATCCACTAACAGTGGATTGTTAGTCCAGTTAAAATATTCCCCAAATCCACATTTTAATTATGCTTTTTCCACTTATTTCCAAATAAAGAGTTTTTTTAAGTTTTAAACTTGCATAAATCTTTCACTGAGGGTTGGAGGAAAATCACCCAGTATAATAAAACTTGTCATTCTGAAGATTGTTAGTATAAAAAAAAGAATTTACCCATTTCCTGTAAATGTAATTAAGAGGGGAAGCGGGCAAATGTACCATCTTTTTGGGCAAAGCTGACTCTCCCAGTTCCCAGACCTCTAAAATCTACCACAGACCACTGTTTTATGGTCACCTTGCGGGGACCATCTGTAAGGAGTACTCTTGGCAATCCCAAGTCTTCTCCTTGATCCAAAGAGAAGTTTGGAGACCGAATTCCTTCACCAGTTCCATTTTCTGCTACAATCATGGGCATTGCTAAAAACAAAGCTGTCTTTTAGTCCACTATTTCTTCTTCAGAAGTCCTAAAATATTTTTTTGCAATCTGTCCATGATGGAAGTTGTATGCAATCTATCCGGTTGGGGGAGGTTCTTCTAAAATAGGGCTGTCAAACTCCCGGCCCGTGGGCCACATGCATCGCATGCTGACCACGCCCACGTCGGATTACGCAAAGGGGGAAAAAGTCCCGATATGTCATGTGATGCCGTCATGACAACGTGAGTTTGACACCCCTGTTTTAAAAGCTAGAAAATAATATTGAAACATACCAAGGTTATTCAGGGTTTATCCACTGAGTTGTCTCTCTGAAGATGCTGCATGTTTTGGTACAACTGTCTACATTTCCATAAATAGGAGATACAATTGGTTATTTGGAGAGTCTGTGCTACTGGGTGATAAACTGACTCTCTCAGGGGAGTTTCTGATGAGATAATGTTATCCTGGCATTTGAGAACAAACATAAAAGTGCTGATGGATTATACTACCGACAGCCCCTTTTGTAAAAGTGCAAGTAACGCAAGTGAGAAGAGACACTCCAGAACAAAAGCTGCCTGGTTATATCTGCACTCTGGTACCATAAACAAATACCAGAATAAGACACATGAAACCAGGTGGATGGATGCTTTCCCAAAAGATGGCTCCACAGGGATTTGCATTACATATAAAACAGTAGTGGAACATTTTATCTCAGTGCTTCTGGCTTCCCTGCCATCTGCTTCCAACTTGCTGCTTGTGGGAAGCTCTTGTTCCTATAAATGTTAGGAAGATAAGAACCTGAGCAGGCAAATATGACACTTGTGTTTCTTTTTAAAAAAAATCTTTAATTTTCAAGTGTTCATTTTATGTGTCTCATAGGTGAGAAATGTAGAAGTTTCATCAGCCTGACACCCCCAGCAGTTCAAGGTAATTATATATTGTCAGTGTTTCAAGTTCTTTCTATATTTATATCTAGTGTTCTGAATCACAGGGAAAAACAATCTTTTAACACACACTCATGCACACATCCAGGTTTTATGAAACATACATTGCCTTAGATGGATGTTCAGAATTTTTGCTGAATGTTAAATTTGGGCCTGGATGAGACAGTCCTTAATTCTCCATGCAGTCCGCCTATATGTCATCTTAGAGATAAATCTTAAAGAGGTCCAACCTGGCTTTCTAATTTGGAAGCAGGAAAAGCAAGACTCTTCTGCAGGCTGAGTCCAATCCTCATGGCAAATTGATGGCAGAATGCTGATAATTACTGTCTCAAACATCTGACGAATTCCAGATTGGGGGAAATGGCCATACTCACCATCCTTAAAATCAATTGCCAGCTCCTCTGAAAAGAAATCAAATTTGATAACCATGTACAGTATGTAGCCCTATTGCTGATTTATAGAAACAAAATATGTCTTTAAAATGGTCTTGGTGCACTGATTTGTGAGTGTGTGTGTGTATATATATATATATATTTTCCAGGTGTTCTATGGTTGTCCATTGCCGCAGAGATCCTCTATATTATTTTACTCCTGATGGGCATCACTCTCATGTTGATTGAAATCTGTCATTCCATCAGTGTCCTGGATGGGCTGAAGCTTAATGCATTTGCTGCTATATTCACTGTTTTAGCAGGTAACAGTTTGGTATTGCTTCTGTTGAGAGTTAAAGTAAGCCAAAGGAAAAAATGAACAATAGAAAGAATTTTATATATATATATATATATATACTCTGTTTTCCCCAAAATAAGACATCCCTGATAATAAGCTCAATCGGACTTTTGAGCACATGGCAGTAAGGCCAAGCGCTTATTTCAGGATTCAAAAAAATATAAGATAGGGTCTTATTTTGGGGGAAACACAGTACTAGGCATAAAAAGATCAATTCTTAAGGATGGGAAGACTCCTCTTGTTCTAAGAGAATTAGCTGCTGATACTCAAACTCTCCACATTAAAGGGTGTTTTTGTGTGAGGAAAAACTGCCACCCATTGCAACAAAGGAACAAAAGATTTCTGGGAAGTGATGGCTGCAATGACAGTCAAGGAATAGACAGAAAGTCCAAACAAGATGAAGCACCTGCTTTGAATGTAAAAGGTTCCTAGTTCATCTCCAGTTAGTACGATTCCTCACACCAAAGATATCGAGGTGGATGAATTAGTTCTCTACTTGTCATCTTCTGCTTATTTATCTTTTTCCCTCACCCTAATTTAGCTCTGTTCAAATATGTCTTTCCCCCACCCCTTGGGAAATTCACTCAGTATTTTACATGCCCTAAAATCAATTCATCAAGGAGTAATTTGTTGAAACTATGATTGACTGTTACAGGTCTCCTTGGAATGGTGGCTCACATGATGTATACAACCGTATTTCAAATGACAGTAAATTTTGGTCCAGAGGACTGGAGGCCTCAGATGTGGGATTATGGCTGGTCTTACTGGTAAGTTTTGAAGCAAAACGTTTCACAAAAAGTTGGGCATGAGTCAAATCATTCTGAGGGAGCCATTAAAATTAAAGCTATCTTTTTTTTCTTTCTTACCTCAATGACAAAGTACTGTAGCCATGTTTGAGAAGAGAATCATAAAACCTTGCAGGCTTGCTTCTCAAGTGTATCACACGGATGCTTAATATTGATGGCAACATCTTTACAGCAATGGGTTGTGCATGAAGTTCAAAGATGAAAAATATCTTGTCTTTCTCTGAGTACAGAAAGCTCTGTATTAAGTTATCTTTCTCCTATCCCTGAGGTTTTGCAAAAGAATGATTCCTTTCTATACATATATTGACCCCAGGTATTTTATCAATTTGCCCAAAAGAAGTACAGTTGTGGAGTGGCTGAAAGGAGATGAGAAAATGAATCTTCCATCTGCATAAGCTTTTTTAGTTTAGCAGCCAAGCCAATTAGAGATCTGCTGGAAGGGATATATTTTACAAATATATTCAGTACCTATAAAAGGGTATTATCTGCTCAGTAACCATCCCCCCCCAATATACTAGTAATAAATGTCTTTGTGCAGCCATTTTAGTGTTAGGATTGGGATCCCCCCCTAGGATTGTCAAAAAAAAGATGATCCTCAACCAGCCTAAATTGCATTTGGTGGCATTGGATTGGTGGTTGAAATATCATCAAATCATATCATTTGATGCATCATTTTTCATTAGTTGGGGGGTCCTGTGGTGAATTAAAAAGAAATGCTAACTGAATGACAAAAAAAATGTCACTGATGAAGCCTAGTGGCATTTCTACTTTTTCATTGGTGCCATGAACATGTGGAGCAGATTGGCCTCTTCCCTCTGCAGAATTTCCCTGTAGAAATGTTCATGTGAGCTCATTCATCCCAAACTTTAGAAGCAATGAAAGATAAAGGCACAAATGTGAAATCACAGTGAGTTTAATTGCAAAACAAGTCCAACAGTATGTTCTTACATGATGGAGAAACATTTTAAAAGATAGGTTGTTAGAAATAAGTGTAAATTCTTGGACTGTATAAGAGATCTGTGGGCTGTTCAGTCTGGGGGTGGGCATGTGTATGACTGTGTCCTGTCATTTCCCCCCCCCCCTTTTTTTCTCAAATTGACAGCTTGGCGTGGGTTTCCTTTGCCTGCTGCATGGCTTCCTCTGTGACCACAATGAACAGATACACAAAAACTATTTTGGAATTTAAATATAAACAGAAAAAACTGGAGAGAAGTCTACAAGCTAAATCCAATCCTCCTGTTCCAGAAAAAGCTTGGAAGATGTACGTTGACACCCTCCAGAGAACAACCGAGGACTTCATGCATCCCTTAACAGACATTCACAACCCATCCAGTCCTATGGGATTTGCAGAGTTAAATAACATTCCTGTGGCACATTGTGAAGAATATTGTTAAGGAGGAGATCCAGGATTGTTGATTTTGCTTTGTATTATGGAAAGTACCAATGTATGTATGTCACATTTTTCTTTTGTATGTTAAGAATTTATATTCTAGTGGAAAGCCATGGTGATGACCTACAAAGGAAATAATTTTAACATGTCTAATTTTGGGTCTTCTCTTCTCTTTTGCTTTAACAGCGCTAGTTAGGTAGGGAGAGTGATTGATAGCATAATCCCATGCAGGTATCCTCAGAAGAAAATTCCACTGATTCTAGTGGGACTTACAATTCATTTGCACAACCAGGTTACTCCAGCATGAGTATGGATCAACAACCATTTCTTGAGGATCTGCTAATATCAGATATGTTGATAGCATCCTCTATCCACACCAGCCCATCTGCTTGTCTTTCCCTGCTGTGCATCAAAAGTAGTGGTTTCCGACTTGTGCTATCAACTTCATCTGTTGACTTCATTTCATTGTTGGCACATGGTTCCATTTCTATTGGCTACCACATACTATTACAGGAACCCTTCTTTTCATCTGCTCATTGTTACTGCCTTCCATGACCATTTGTGCCAAGCTACCAATCCACTTCTGAAGGGACCTCAGCCAGGGAACCTGTGGTTTTTTTGTACTGATTTATTCATTTCATCAATGGTCCAGTAAAAACCAATCTTTCCTTCCTTCCTTCCTTCCTTCCTTCCTTCCTTCCTTCCTTCCTTCCTTCTTTCTTTCTTTCTTTCTTTCTTTCTTTCTTTCTTTCTTTCTTTCTTTCTTCCTTCCTTCCTTCCTTCTTTCCTTCCTTCCTCCTTCCTTCCTTCTTTCTTTTCTTTTCTTTTCTTTTCTTTCCAGATGTAACTATGAAATGGCAAATCTTTCTTTTTTAATCTTTCTTTTTTAACCAGATTATATTGATAAAACTGTCCCACCAGTTTCATCTCCTAGCTTAGCCATTTGGAAAAAGTAGTAAAACTGTATTTTCAATTGTTTAAATTTCTTACTGGTCCACTGATGGACATACCAGATGGGAAATGTCTCTATGGAAAACTAATGTACTACAGATCTGCCTGCTGGAGAGAAAAAAAGGGGGGCTAATGCTTGATTTCTTGACATGGGCCAGACAGATGAGAAGCAGGAAGGGACTCATAGTAAGCATGGTTTATATCAGATACCCTTGTGACCAAACTGGAGGAAACCAGCTTTATTTTTTTTTAATTTATTTTTTAAATCCCACCTTTATTATATTTATAAATAATTCAGGATGGTGAGCATATCTAATACTCCTTCCTCCTACTACTTTCCTCACAACAGCAATCCTGTGAGATAAGTTGAGCTGAGAGAGAGTGACTGGCCCAAAGTCATCCACTTGGCTTTCATTCCTAAAGCGGGGCTTGAACTGAGAGTCTTCTGATTTTTAGCCCGCTGCCTTAACCATTAGACCAAACTGGCTCTTAGTCAGTTTATGCATGTGAGTCAGGCTGTTTAAGGTTATAATGCAGAAAAGTCCTTGTTTTTCTTTAGTGAGTCTAGCACATTTACAGTTAATTCCTCTCTGCACCATGGCATTTTATCTTGACTAGGTGATGGCATTATATTGAAAACTTACAGCTGGTATATTTGATGTGTATACCAGTAGTTAATAATATTGAGAAAGTGCTAAATATTTCAAAAAGGATAGAAGAGAAAAAGTACTTCTATGATTATTCATACATTTTGATGAAGCTAAATACTGAGCAAGGAAAACTTTTGTGTTTTGTTTTGTCTTGTTTTGATCTGTCCTTTTTTCCTTAAAATGTCTTTAGAGGTTTCAACTCTGGGTAACTTCAGTAGACCTTTCTTATTAGAAGTGAAGTTTTATAATTCAGAATGGAATTTCACTTCCCAAACCACCACGCACTTTTAATAATGCCCAGAGAGGCACCGACAAAAGTTCCCTTCTAGCAAGTAATTAAGAAAACTTTCATATTTTAACTTTCAGGTGCCAAGGGATCCTTTGAGCAGGTAATTATTATCTGGCAAGCAAATCTCACCAACTGGGTTTTATATTTTTGGCTGCAGGCAAAGGTGAAATAAACAAAGGAAATAATTATGAAGTGTTTAACAGCTCAATCTTCTTCGTGCCTTTCTTGGCCTTAGATTAAGAGTTCTGTAATTTTTGCTGTGAGTGACAGTTAAAGCAACCTGTATTATTTGGATAGGAGGACAAAATCATTAAATCATCAAACTTTACCAAAAATGTCCAAGGTCTTCTTACCATAAGATAAAACCGCTTAGGATTTAAGCTTCTCTTCCTGAGCCAGATTGCAGGACTGCCCTTTCCATTACCAGTGTACAGTGCAGATAAAACAGTGATTTGACTATAAAGGAAGGGAGGGGAAACCTGTGCCCAGGTTACTTCTCCAGGGTTTGGGAGAAGAGGTGGAGACAATAAAGGAGAATATTTGTAACTCAAGGTTAAAATAAGGAATCCTTAGTGCTCTCTGATCTTGGTTGTTTTCTTGCAAATGTTTCATTACCCAAACTAGGTAACATCATGAGTTCTAGCTTCAGAAAAGAACCTCTAATGGATTTCAGAATTCAGTAAAGAAAAGTTCATGGTAAAGCTCACCAAAGCTCGGGGTAAAAGAACTCTATTGTATTTTACTCTTACTGCTATATGCCTCAGATGCCACGCCCTTTTGCAGTTCCTCAGCCTGGATCAACAAATGATGCACAGAATGTCAAAGAAACCATTGATCTGCAAGATATAGTAAAAGAGTTTTATATATTACTCTTAAAATCCTATTTCTGATGTACTGAAATGCATTAAAAATTCATACAAAGCAACTTGTATAATCAGACAGTGTTCTAAAATCTAGATGTCGTCCCAAATGTAGTTTAGAGGAAATACTGTATGTCCCCAGTTTTATGAGACAAGTGTAGCAAACTGGCAAACAGATATAATCTGAATTATTGCTTTAAATGGGTTTTACTTTCAAATAAGTATGTATAGGATTAACTAGACTGAGCTTCTGGAAATGTTGGTGAATTTATCATGCCAGATGACACTGATATGGAAAAGAAGACATCACTGCGAGTTCTGCTTCAAAAAAATCATATCTGTCTGTTTTCAAGGCACAGTGTAAACTCTATAATAAATGTTGGGGGGTGGGATTGTACTTGATTTGCAAAATCTTCCCCCAGCATATTTAGCTGGATCTCTGAAATAATTGGACGTCCATATTGACCTAAACTGAATTTGACACTTAACTTCAAATGTTCAAATTACGATGGGTGTGCTTGAGGACTGAAATTTTTTCATGTCGTCTTTTTACTGTATCGTCTTTTTACAAGTGTAAAAATCTTTCTTCACTAGTGATGTTTGGTGGAATTTGATTCTTGCTGTGCAATAAAAAGAGCTGCACAATGCCTTGTCCCAATTCTCTGGGCTCTTTTTGTGGTTTGAAATCGGTAGATGTTTTGTGGTATGGAAACATTACCCTAAGAATACATAAATCATGGCTGGGATATGGGGTTAGATTGAGGTTGGCAAACTATTCTATGATGTCAGTGTGAGAAAAGATTTCAAGTCTGTGTTCAGATATTACGCTCCTGCATCTCCAAACTGGATACCCCCTACATGTATTTTATCTTTTTGTTTATCAAATAAAGTCCATGAAAGTGGAGAGGAAAGGAGGGAGGGAGGGAGGGAGGGAGGGAAGAAAGGAAGGAAGGAAGGAAGGAAGGAAGGAAGGAAGGAAGGAAGGGAGGGAGGAAGGAAGGAAGGAAGGAAGGAAGGAAGGAAGGAAGGAAGGAAGATTACTAGCTGGATAAATGTCTTGTTTGGTAGCAGTAGGTATTTTTTCACAAGAAGCAAATAAATTCTATTTCTTAATAGGTCTGGAATAGTTTTGTAGACAATGTGGGGGGGAGAGTGATCAGAATGATGTTCTGAAAGGTAATGCCCTCCAGATGTATTGCTAGAGGGAATTTGGGAATTTGTAATCTCATAATACCAAAAGGACAGCAAGTTAGAGGTGGCTAGGGCAAATCAGCCCTTTTCTAGTTCCCCTCCCCCATTTTCAGTTATTTTCCCTTTTCTATTTTTGATAAAATTCCATATTGCAGTAATTTTTGCAATTGGGGAATAATGTTAGCAATCTGCTTCTGTGTATAATACAAATCCTGCAATTAATTCTTGGTTTGCCACGGATGTAGAAACTACGCAGCGCAGCATGTTCTATTCTGAAATCTTTTCAAACCTCGCTACAGGATGGCATGATGTCCCACTGTGCTTAAGAAGTGTGCTAAGCTTCAGTTATCTTTCATTATTGGAGAACTGGGGAAATTCCTATAGATTCGATTCAGTTTTCAGAATTCTTTGTGGGCGCACGTGAGATGAGAGAAAGTGACTTTGGCTTAAATTATTGTCTTTTCATCAGAAATGTCCCATTTCTTGATGGAAACAACTGCAGTGATAATCAGGAGGGATAATAAATCAGAATGGCTATGCTCATCTCTTAGAAGGTTGCATATTTATATTCTACCTCATCCATTAAGGACAAAATGTACGTCAGATGTTTGTTCAATCTGTTTTTTTCCCCCAGTTCTTTTTTCTTTCTAGCTTTAGTTTATATTAGCAGTAATGTTAATGACCATTTTGCATGAGAAAACATCATAAACATTTTGTTGTCCCCTCCAACATCCCTTCTGCTAGAAGCTGATACTCTGGAGCAAACCTCTTCACCTACTCAAATTAGAGTCCTGCCTACCGTAGAAATGGCAAAACTACTTCTGAGAGCTTGTTCCTGTAACAGTGGAGCAATATTAGGAAACCTGAGACACATACACTTTTTACTTTGTCTTGTTTCCTGTCAGATCATAATCATTTTGGCCATTTGCACATTTTGTTGATTTCTGACTACTGCAGCATATCACTGGAAAAAGAAATGCAATCCTTATTTTGCAATAATTTTACTCATATCTTTATATGGCACTTTAGAAAGATAGATGCAATGGCTATACACTAAAGATGTTTATAGTTTCATGTTCATGCAGAAAAAATGCAAAGGATAATAGAAAATAAAATGATGGATAAGTGGATAATTAGTTCAACAAACATAGGTTGCATTAGCTACAACAAGGTATATGATTAATCTGAAAGAAAAAGAACTAATAAAGTCTAAGTCATATATGACAACAAATAAACCAAAGGACCAGACATTTTTTTTTTTTAAAAAGAATAACATGATGGATTATATTTCTCACCCATATTAAATCAATTGCTGAATCCAGAAAAGGATTAAATTTCCTAGTCCCTTTTTCAGTGTTCTCATGATCTGAAAGAGAGATAGAGAGGGAAAAGATCTGGGTGACATGTTGTTGATACCAACCCTAAGATTCTAAGAACCATTTCCAGCAGGTCTGTGTAGATAAAAATACAGGTAGTCTTTGACTTACAACCACATTTGAGCCCAGAATTTATGTTGTTAACGTAAACATTTGTTAAGTGAGTTTTGCCCCATTTTACAACCTATCTTGCCACAGTTGTTAAGTGAATCACTGCAGCTGATAAGTTAGTAACCCAATTGTTAAGTGAATCTGGTTTCCCCTTGATTTTGCTTGTCAGAAGATCACAAACCTTGGGAAGATCACAGCAAAGGTCATAAATATGAACCAGTTGCCAAGCATCTGAATTTTGATCATGGGGATGCTGCAAAGGTCATAACTGTGAAAAATGGTCATAAGTCACTTTTTTCAGTGCTGGTGTAACCTTGAATGGTCACTAAATGAACTGTTGTAAGTTGAGGACTACCTGTATGAGGGATGAAATAATGTGCTGAAAAAACCCTAGTATAAAGGCAGAAGCATCCAGTGAAAATAATTGATGGGAAGGTAGCTTCTTTTTCTTTTCATCAACACTGGATACCAAACTCTAATTAAATAATTGGCATATTCATCACTGAGCCTTTCCTAAAAAATTTCCCCAAAACATTACAAGCATACTTATTAAATGCAATTAACCTCTGGATTTCTAACCAACCCATTCAGACAGAACACATTCCAGAACAGAACAAAATGTTCTGCTAGACCAGTCCAATATAACTCATCTGGTTCAGCATCGGTTTTGTCATGGTGATCAAGCCAGAAGCCAGAATATCAACCCACTAGTACCTTTTGCCTTATACACCTTAGCAAGTGGTATTGAGAAGTATATTATCTTTTACAGTATGTGAAAAGTGACACATAGCCATCATGACTAATAATCACGGTTCCCCCGTGCGTGTCATTTTCTGTTGAAATGAAGGGGAAAAATTGCATCTGTCCTGAATGTCCCATCCTTCCATTCAGAAGATGGATGCATGCCTTTCCTATGATGGCTGAGAGTACGCCTGCATAGATCCTGTGGGAATGAAAACTCAGATACAATACTGGAAGCAGCTTTAATCACATGATGGCTTTGTTATCATCTAAGAAGCTGAATGTGTGCCCACACATCACGTACACATGTGGCCATTGAATCTTGTTTTCAAACAAGATTCCTTTCCTTTCTTGACTGTGGATGAAAAGAGCAGCAGCTGTTTAACCATCCTGCCTAATAATGTTTATCAATCCATCAACTGGGGGAAGATAGCACTACTAGGGAAGGAAAAGCAACAGCCGTTTTCCTGGTGCCTGTTCATTGTGACGGCTATGCAGTTTTCAACATAGGCAAAGAGGATCAGCCTGGAAAAATGACGATAGAAAAAGAGAAAGCAGTTGAGAGAGAAAGAACTTACTGAGAAAGGTGTTCTGCTAAAAGGACTGTTCATAGATTTACAACCCCAAGCACTTTCCCCTTCCCTGGATTCTCCCATCCATTTGCACAATTTCCCTGGGCCAAGAAACTTTGCCTCACCGGAAGGTTATTGACTTCTATCAAAATGACTAAGAAAAAATATTGTTTACTTAAAACCACTGCAGAGAATAACTGAGAATGACACAGACATCAGAATAACATACTTGGGGAGACATCTAAAGGTGCCCCAATGTACTGCAATATCTATCTATCTATCTATCTATCTATCTATCTATCTATCTATCTATACATCCATCCAGTGGTGGGATTCAAAAATTTTTACTACCAGTTCTGTGGGTGTGGCTTGGTGGGCGTGGCTTGGTGGGCGTGGCAGGGAAGGGTACTGTAAAATCTCCATTCCTTCCCCACTCCAGGGGAAGGTTACTGCAAAATCTCCATTTCTTCCCGATCAACTGGGACTCAGGAGGCAGAGAATAGATGGGGATGGGGCCAGTCAGAGGTGGTATTTACTGGTTCTCCAAACTACTCAAAATTTCCACAACCGGTTCTCCAGAACTGGTCAGAATCTGCTGAAATACACCTATCTGTCTGTCTGTCTGTCTGTCTGTCTGTCTGTCTGTCTATCTATCATCTATCTATCTATCTATCTATCTATCTATCTATCTATCTATCTATCATCTATCTATCTATCTATCTATCATCTATCTATCTATCATCTATCTATCTATCTATCTATCTATCTATCATCTATCTATCTATCTATCTATCATCTATCTATCTATCTATGTATGTATCTATCTATCTATCTATCTATCATCTAGCTAGCTAGCTAGCTAGCTATCTCTATCTACACATTATCTATCTATATTCTAGCACCTTATCCATCCATTTATCTATCAAAATATTGTCAGGCAGACAGTCACTTAAAAGGGATATCATACATTAATTTCCAGTTAGAAAGGATACTCCAATCTGACTATAAGTAGTATGCAAGCATGGGGATCTATGTCTGAAAAAGAATTAGCAGACCAGAAAATACCTGTATGTTATGAGAATAGTGCTGGGTTCTGGCTCCTATTTTTCATCCTCCTGTCTTCCACCCCATCAAAGCTGTATCTTCATATTTTCAGTATAAGCTTGACTCCAGAGCTACCAATTCTATGAGGCCCTTATAGCTTATGCCAAGGTACCATTGGTTGCCTTTGCATAGGACTCTGCATAAGAGGGATGTTGCCCATGCGCTTCAATAGAAAGAACGAAACTTAAAAGTTCCACTTAATTTTGCATGTCTCTACAAGGATTACTTTCACTTACTAAATGCAAAGTAGGGCAATACTGAAGCTTCCTGCGACTGGCAGTAGTCTGGATATGATGAATTGCTATATTCTGGAGAATGATTTTCATATGCCTCTAGCTGTGCCAATGTTTTCAAACTCGATTTCCCCAAACAGAGGACTTTCAGAATGTACATGTTCACAAGAAGAAGGGAGGCACTATATTAAACTCCATGTTTCTTTACACTTACTTTAAGGGGAACTAATCTTGTATAATTTAACTCTCCCCTGTATCTGAATGAAAGGATTTAATTATAATCAATATATTAAACTTCTTTATGATATGATTTCACAAACACAAAAGAAATATTTGTTTCACTTGAGTTCAGCGTGAACAATGCTGAAGATTTCAGCGTGAAATGCACAATATTAAGAAAATTGGAATTCATTTTGTTGAGGCAGCTCTTTTTTAAAATGTTCTGGCTCTCAGCATTCGGAACATGTCACTATGGCTTAGCAGACCCTACATTGGCTGCTCATTGGTTTCCAGGTACATTTAAGATGCTGGTTTTGACCTATGCAGCCCTCCAGGGCTTGGCACAGGACTACCCATTCTACCCAGTCTGACCAATTTGAACAATGACAGAGAAAACAGTACGAATTCCACACTTCCAGGAAGTTCACAGGACTGAAGCAAAAAGATATCAAACTAACAGAGTTGGAAGGGACCTTGGAAGGGACCTAATCCAACCTCTGCTCAAGCAGGAAACCCTATACCATTTCAGACAAATCCGCTCTCTAATTAAAAAATCTCCAATGTTGGAGCACCCACAACTTCTGGAAACAAGTTGTTCCACTGATTAATTGTTCTCGCTGTCTGGAAATTTCTCCTTAGTTTCAGGTTGGTTCTCTCCTTGATAAATTTCCATTCCTGCCTTCAGGTGCTTTGGAGACTAGATTGATCCTCTCTTCTTTGTGTGTGTGTTGATGTCAATGCAATATTAGAAAAATTCTCAAACTAGTCCCTTTTTTGTTGAACTTTCAAAAACGTCTGAAGACAGTTTTTCAGAGAAACTTCTTTGAATTATGCCTGATTATGCCATCTGCATTTTTTTAGTAATTACCTTTATTATTCTTTCGGTTGGCATGGTTTATTTATTCTTTATTATTCTTTCATTTGGCATGGTTTAATGGCAAGTTATGATACTTTTGACTAATTTTGAACTTTATTGTGGATGTTCCAAGTTGTTTTACTATAAACTATATAAGCTACCAAAAGTCTTTTTGTTTGCAGGGGAATGGAAAAGTGCTTAATAAATAGATAAATAAAGAAATAAATTACTCTGGGTGAGCTGCAGAGCTGTTCTGATCTGGAAAAGCTTATGGTCAACTCACTGTGTAATCAAACATTTTGCTGTGCCAAAAACGCAATTCACAGCTTTTCCTGACCATCATGTAATTATTTTTTCCTGAACTTGGTGTTGACATACAGAAACTAATCAAGAAACAAATCTGTTATGTAGAAATTAAAGCTTGGAAAGTTTTTCATAACAAACAATTAAAAAGGAAGGGAAACATCACTGTGCGAATTCATGAATTGCAAACTGCTATGGACAACTATGGAAAAACCCCACTGCCAAAACTTCATTGAAAATACGGCTTATGTTTACTTGCATTTGTTGTATATATGTACAATGATAATAAAGTTTATTATTATTATTACGCAAAAAAGGGGCTTTAGAAACAAGCCACATATTTTAAATATGTTTCTTTTTAAACATATTTAAATATTAAATAAACTATTAAATATTAATAAATAACTATTAAATAAACATATGGACCAATACAGGTTCTAGATACAAGGAATTAAAACTCTTTTACACATTTTTTGGTGGGTTATGAGACAATAGCAGAAAACATGTATAAAAAAGGATTACCATAAATGCTATTAAAATAACCTACAGTATGCTATTCTTTACTATTCTACCTATAGGAAGCTCAACAATAAGTTAAAGCTGAGTTGGAATATATGTGCCTATGCTGTGTTATTTCTCTAGTCTAGGACATAGATTTTCAGCTAATTGTAACTTGCTCAAAGCACATTCTCACTCTCCTCAGTTACACAAAGTGTAACATAAATTGGCCAAAAGGTCCTTTAGACACTGAATGTGACGGCTTGTACTACTGTATATACAGTAGGTGTTATTGAAACAGGACAAATTGTTTCACAAAGGCCATGAGGAAGGATTGAATAAGAAGAAAATATCATTTTTGGCCAAGGGGAAACCTGTCTTGAATGTTCTCTTGAAAAGGGAAATTTAGATAGGGAAAACTCATCTGCTTCCGCTAATGCCCTTTTCTCAGAGATTTACCAATTTTGCAGATAACTTTTCTGGGAAGAAAGAAAATCTAGTCTTTCTTTCCAGTAAATATAGTACTAATAAACTGACTAGTAAGCCTCTTGGAGATCCAAAAATGTTTGGTCTGGATTTCTAAATATGTATAAAAGGCTAAAGAGGAATCTTTACAAGAACTTTCAAAGATCCTTTCCTTTACCAATCAAACATTCTGTTTTCCTGGCTCAGTACAGATATGATGCTTATTCTGGGCCTCCGTTTTTGAACAGAACTGAAGACAGGCCCAGAGTCAGGTCTTTGGAGAGGTTGTTTTCTTGCTTAATAATTTCCTCGGAACACCCTTCACCTCCTTGTTTCTAAGGCTGTAGATGAGGGGATTCATCATGGGGGTGACCATGGTGTAGAACACAGACACAGCCTTATCCTGGCCTGTGGCAGAACTGACCGAGGTGGGCCTCATGTAGGCAAAGAGTGCTGTGCAATAGAAAAGGCTCACAACCAGGAGGTGCGAGCCACAGGTCGAGATGGCACGGCGTTGGCCCTCAGCTGAGCGAATGCGCAAGATGGCAATCCCAATGCGGGCATAGGAGGCAGAGATGAGGATGAAAGGCAGCAGCAGAAGAATGGAGCCAAAGACAAACACAACTATCTCTGCCTCTGAGGAGTCAGCAGACGCCATCTTGATGACAGCCGGTACCTCACAGAAGAACTGATTGATGCGATTTTTGGTACAGTATGGCAGGCGTAGAGCAAAAGCGTTGACATGAGGGAATTGAGGAACCCACTCAACCAAGCAGCTCCTGCAGTCCAACGACAGAAGTGCCAGTTCATGATGGTGGTATAGTGTAAAGGATGGCAAATTGCCACGTAGCAGTCATAGCCCATGAGACTCAACAAAACACATTCTGCCATACCAAACACCAGGAAAATATACATCTGGAAGGCACACTGGACAAAGGATATGGCTTTATGCCTGGAGAGAAGATGTGCCAACATCTGTGGGATGGTAACTGAGGAATAGCAAAGGTCCAGTAGGGACAAATGGAGGAGGAAGAAATACATTGGTGTGTGTAGGCGATGTTCAATCCCAATTAATATCACCATTGTGCAGATGCCTAGTAAGGTAACTAAGTATATGACCAAAAAGAGAACAAAAAGCATAGTTTTGGTCATAGCCCCCTCTGCCAGGCCCAGTAGGACAAACTCAGCCACAGAGCTCTGATTGCACCACTCCATCACGTGTGCCAGCCAGGCAAACTCTGCAAGAAGAAGAGTTAGAGCAAAGTCATATCCCTCCCCTCATTATTCAGTCATTTTGTACATTGATACATTGCTTAGGTCACCTATTATGAAGTGTTTTGTCCAGGGGTGACTCTAGAATGAGTGTCAAGCATCTCCTAACAAATAGATACCCCCCACACATAGGAACTTTTAAAAAATCATAGTAACTTTAAGAAAGGCGGACTTCAACTCTCAGAATTCCTTAGCTAGCTTTGCTAAAAATTCTGGGAATTGCAGTCCATCTGGCTGAAAGTTGCCTAGGTTGGGAAGTGCTGCCTTAAATATAATTTTATTTTTTTCTCAGTACAGTTGCATAGAATGGTAGCTGCCTGGTATCTCTCTGAAATAAGTCACAACTCCCTGGCTTACAGAAAGAAAAATAGACAGACCTTTCCCTGCCAAAACAGGTTCATCCTCACCATGATATTTTGTTTATATTAAACATTCAAGATCTGGCATAACAATGGTGTAATGTAGAGGAAATTCTGCCTCTTGCCTTCCAGATGTAATTTTGTCCACAAGCCAGCTTTTCCCTATCAGTCTAGCTATGCATCATCTTTGCACAATCACTTTGTAACCAGAAACATTGGCTGGGCAATTGCTTGCTGATGTTGATTTCTCTCACAATCCAAGCAACAAGATAGTTTATTTAAGGAAACAGCTGCAGACAAACAATTTCTTCCCCCATCCTCCCCACCTTTTTTGCACAAAAACCACATAAGCAGAGAGACATCTAAAGGTGCTTCAGTGTATTGCAACAAGAAATGTTTTTGCTTTATAATATAAGCCCAGTCACTTAATTGCTTACTCATACCTGAAGTTAATTTATCTATTACCTTCTACTTCTAAACAAGCACTCTTTGTGTCTTTGGTGAGATATATGTAAAATACCGGTAGAACCATTTCTAAATCCAAATAAGGATCTGATCTCCATGCATTAGCAAAATAAACAATGTGGGCTCTCTTGATTTGCAGGAGATCTTTTTCAAATTGCCTCTTTACATATTCTGCTTTTTGCTTCTCACATGTCTTGTACTCTCTGCATGAATACAGAAAATGGAGAGGCATCCTAGCGATTATTTTGTGAATTGTAATAGCAAAGGATGAGCTACTTTCCCTTGAAATAACATGCACAATGGGAAAGTTTGTTACATCCTGAGAACAGCCAACTGTGGGAGAGGGAAGCCATTTTGTTTAATGGCTTAGAATAAATTCAGTCAGAAAGAGAGATATTTTCCTCTCCTTCCTAGAGATTTCCATGGCTTTCTTCCTGAAGATCTACACTACAGAAAGCCAATCTGATGTGTATCCGATTGTGTATTACAATGTGTATTATATTTGCACATCGCCAATACCACCTCAACCTCTCCCCCCTCCCCTCCACATGTCTGATTATGCTGACTGGAACTAATAGAAAATAGAAAACTCAGTCAAAACATCCAGACATTTATCTGTACTGCTCAATTCTAGAAATGAGGCAATGACAGCTAGAGTATAGGAAATGATAAAATCCTTTCTAGAACAGACCAAAGATCTGCCTAGGTGTCCAAATCAGAAGGCTCCATTAGAAGTCTTAGTAAAGTCCAATCATGGAACAAATACCATTTCAGACAGATAGTTGTTCTTCTGAAAAACTTCCATGTTGGAGCCCCCACGACTTCTAGAGGCAAGTCATTCTACTAATTAATTGTTCTGTCAAGAAATTTCTGCTTAGTTCTAAATTAATATAAGAAGAGCTACTGTGGTATGATGTTAAAGTTCTCAGGACAAGACTCAGATTCTAGACATAGGTTCTCAGGACAAGACTCAGATTCTAGAAATAGAATAACAGGGTTGGAAGGGACCTTGGAAGTCTTCTAGTCCAACTCCCTGCTTAAGCAGGAAACCCTACACCACTTCAGACAAATGGTTATCCAATCTCTTCTTAAAAACTTCCAATGTCGGAGCATTCACAACTTCTGGAGGCAAGTTGTTCCACTGATTAATTGTTGTAACTGTCAGGAAATTTCTCCTTAGTTCTAGGTTGCTTCTCCCCTTGATTAGTTTCCACCCATTGCTTCTTGTCCTACCTTGGAGAATAGCTTGACTCCCGCTTCTTTGTGGCAGCCCGTGAAATATTGGAACACTTCTATCATGTCTCCCCTAGTCCTTTTAGTTTTCCTTTATACATTGAAGCCATCTAAGTGCCTTATCCCTCTCGCTCATCCTGAGGGAATAAAAAATGTTATCTTCATTGGATCAGCCTGAAAGATTATGGTCTCTACTTTAAAGCAACCATCCCTATCTTCTAGAGGATAGGACATCAAGTCTAATCATCCCAAGAAAACTTGGCCATGCTGGCGGGGAAGGGGAAGCCTGTTAGGAAAATGTAATATATTAGAATGCATGGTATGCAGTTATTCTTTTATTTATCTTGAACATCCTGTTCATGGATGTCATAAGGAATTTTCAAAGTCTACCATGTAGAAGAAGACAAAACTGGCTTCTAGCTATTTTCTCCACATTGAGAACAAAATTACTCCCTATTTTATCACCTAAAGAATAATAGTAATAATAATAATAGTATCACTATTTTCACTCAATTGCTTTGTTTTCTGTGTCTTTTCTCCCACTTTCTGCCATATCCTTTTTGAAGTGAGTGATCAGAAAAAGCACAGGTTATCAAAATACAGCTCCAATTAGTTTGATATAAAAATCTAATGTTCAAATGTATTTTAGGATTCTTTATTGTTAATTTCTAGAATTGTATATTTCATTATAACCATATGCACCATAATTCCTAGAGTTCTGTCCTGGATAGGGAAAACAGATAAACTCATTGCTTTGTGAATAGAATTACTTTTACTTTTCTTTCTTTTCATTGCACTTCCTCTCCACAATTGCTAGTAGAGAAGGAGAAACTTTATTAATATAGTTTTTTGACTCATTGCGTTTCTTCCTTTACAGATAATAGTTCAACAGAAGCTACTATGGAATACTGTGTAACTTTTAATGATAAACCAGGAGAAAAATGAACTGGACTTAAGATAATTACATCTGGTTAATATGATTACTCCTACCTGTACATATAAAATATTTTCCTCCTGCTGACACTTAAAATATACAGATTGATGAGAATTTTTGAAAGGACTTTAGGGTTTATCAGAAATCTTAAGATCTGCACCTTTGCTTTATGAATAATAAAATCAAATTGCTTTATTCTTGGTAAAACCTGTTTAAATCAACACTGTGTGTGCTATGCAAAGAAAAACTTTTCTGAGAAAAATTATGCTACAAATCTATAGGATTTTAAATTTTTTAATCTACAGAGTCACTGATAATTGGAGATATTTCAAAATAAAATGTTTGGGAATGTCAATTCACATCAAGATATACAATCCTATTACAGTGAAAGGAATCCATCATTTCATGATACTCAGAATCTAATAAATAATACCTATTGTCTAAAATTTCTAAAATTATCTGAGATTACTCAAATAATCCAATGGTCAAACAATGCCTAAAGAAAATAAATACACAAAATATAGTGATCCCAAGTATGAATTTACTTGCATTATTTTGGTTTTCCAGGTATACCGGCTTCATGAGATCCAGAGATGGAAAGATTTCAATGCCAAAAGTATTTGATCTTTTAAGTATCAGACAAAAATGGGGTGATCAGTTAGCATAAAGTCCCATGGTGTCAGACACAGCCCATTATAAAATGAAAGTGTTAATAGGGAGTCCCAAAGTGCACATATACCTTTTTCACAAGCTGAAGGACCAAAGCATCTCCTGGGGACTATAGGAACAAAGAAGCATGAACTTTGTTCTGCCTTTGACTCATATCCACAGCTAATAATGATGACAAACTATTTTGAACTCTATAGGGGTTTGTTGAAGTGGCTAGTGGATTTTGAAAGTCTAATGTAAATCACTTATCAGAAAATATGGTCAAGAGGCTATTTTTCTGAGTCATTTCCATGTTTTTGAGGTACATTGTTATTATCCATAAAATTACAAATAGGCAGCCATTTATATCAAGGTCCTCTTGGGATCTTTTCACAGGAGTTCTTGAAATGGGCACTTTCATACTATAATGTTTTGCCTAATCTTGTCGACAGATCAAATCTTGATTTGTTTCAACAGATACCTTCCTTAGAAGGATTTTAAATTGACACTTAGGGAAGAAATGGCAAACTGGAAATGGCTCTATTAAAGAGGAGCCTACAACTATGATGGAATGAAGAGCCAGACGTCTCTTTGTAATTCTACTCTGAGTAAGAAGAGAGCTTGAGATAACCTATAAGTGCTCCATACAGTTCTCTATTCAAGGAGGCCTCAAGATAGCAGTCTCTGACAAGGAGATGAAGGAATAGCCATCTTTTTGTTCAAACCATGATTGGCACTTTCAAAAGGACACTAGGTTTGCATACTTCCTATTGTAATTGTTTTTGGAAATTGCTTTTTACTTGCGTATCAGATAGTAGTAACTTTTTTATCAACAAGTTTTACAGCACTTGGTGAGTTTCCTTCAATCCTTAGTGAAGTAAATTTTAAGTACAAAAATTATTTTAAAAAATCTTTTGGAATAAGCAACTAAATGATGATTAGAACTCTGATTTTGGAAAGTTACAAATGGACTAAGGATCAAAGTGGATTTGAATTAATATTTTGGAATTAATTATAAAAATGCTTTCCTAGAAAAAAATGTTTTTGTTTTGAATTCTCTTTAAATAAATGATAGGATGAGACTTGAAGGTTGGAACTAGAAGGTACCTGAAGGAAGTAAAGATTATAATTAAATGAGAAGAACATTTAATTTGACTTAGTAATACAGAATTTAGCAAAATGTTTTAAAATTGGGCACATTGAAAGATATTTGTGAAGAATGGATCCAGAAGTGAACTATAAAAGTATCTGTCATTGCAGATATTGTGTTTAAAAGATGTTATGAAAGAAGAATAAATATTATCAGGCAAGAATGACACTGATCTGAAAATGGATTTAAAAATGAGAGCCTGCAAAAATGATATGCAAAAAGATGCTATATTGGACATACAAATGAAATTGGCTGATATCTTGATATCTTGATAAAAAGATCATATGAACAATAACCAAAAGAATGACTTGAATAACTTTTCTATAGTGGACTTACAAAAGGGACTTGTTAATACTTTCAAGAATTTTGTGAGAAGAGACAAAGGCAAACGAAAAGAGATCAAGTTTTAGAACATTACTTGAAAAGACTAAAGACGAAGATTGTTAAAAGGAAGAAATATAAAGTTGTCTTATTTGATCAAGGTTTGGTAATCCTTAATGGATATTTGCTGACATCGAGACTAAAAGGCAACATTTTAAGGATTTGTTTATAGATAAGAGATAAGTTATGGAAAGAAGATATCATTAGTTTTATTTTACGAGGTGATATGTTATTAAACATGTTTGTACTTGTGATGAAGGCGACAATCTTTTATTTATATACTTCATTTCTTTTTCTTTACTATAATCTTATATAGTCATTCTTCTCTATTTTTCTTTCTATTTCTCATTGTCTATTTTTCTTTTTTTTAGTTTTCATCTTTTTAAATACTATTAAATAAGTAAATTAAATAAAAATACTATTAAAAGTACTGTTAGCCTAGTATTGTTAGTCATAACCACTATTATAGTGCTATTTCCACCAATTCCAGATACCTTCAGCATACTTTTTCTACCTCTGATGCAGGGGTGAAATGTTCCTGGTTCGGACTGGATCGCCCGACCCGGTAGCAATGGAGGTGGGTGGATTGGAGAACCGGTAGCAAAAATCCCTGACCCCCCCATGCCCAGCTGAGCCGCACAATCATCAGAGGCTTTTTGAAGAGGTTTTAGAAAAAATGCTTTTAAAAGCCTCTGACGATCCCAGCTGAGTCGCCTAATCGGCACAGGTTTTTAAAAGCATTTTTTTAACAAAAAAAAATGGTTTTAAAAGTACAAAAAAAAAAGTTGGCCGTACCCACCGAGTCACATTACCCCCCCACCAAGCCATGCCCACAGAACCAGTAGTAATAAATTTTACATTTCACCACTGCTCTGATGTCCCAACTTATCTAAGCCTTACATAAAAGCACCCAAAACAAACCAAAAGCCTATAGAATAGCAAAATGAGAATAGGTGCCTACTAGAATTCCTGTTCAACAATGAGTATCGGATTTACTCTTAAAGAATCCTGCAAAAGTGTCTATGGGGATTCTCAGAATAGAAGACTCAGTCTATGGGACTTCCAGCAAAGGAGAAAGTTTCACCTCTCCAAACAACCTTCTCCACTGATAAAGTTGTAATAAAATATCAAGTTCAAATAAGACAGCATTTCCTACTTGGTATCTTCCAGTTACGTTGAAACATTTCCCAGAATTCTCAAGCAGGGCAATATCAGCTCCACTTCTCAGCTGATCTGAATTTGAACAAGGTTTTGTTTTTTAAAAAAGGGGGGGAAGGAGTTAATACAAACCAATGAGCCACTGGTTGAATCCATCGATGGATTCAAACCACAGAATCCAATTCTGGAACAGTAGAAAAGTTATTGTTGCATTTCACTTGAATAGTAGTTTACTCATATTTAGTGACCCTTGAACTAAATTAGTGACACTTGAATAGGTTTATTCTATTGTGACTAATAAGTAGACAATCGATATTTCTAACTCTACCTCTTTTAGACCCATCTACATTTTGAATTGGGATACTGAATGTCCTTCTCCTTTGCATTGATGAAGTGTTCCAGATGTTATTTCTGTGAAAAAAGCCCATACAACCAGTTGTGGGTTTGTAAACTGCATCCTTTGTGTTCAATACTATGGAATGATTAGAATAGAAATTCTGCCTTCTCTTCCATTAGGTCTCATTCAGTTTGATGAAAGAAAAGTGAGAGAGAGAGAGAGAGAGAGAGAGAGAGAGAGAGAGAGAGAGAGAGATTGCAAAAACAGGAATTTCCTCCTGAAAATTTTATGAATGTTTGCCTTGTGGAAGCATCCAGGATTCTAAGAACTTCAGCCAGGGCCGGATTTTCCTGTAGGCTAACTAGGCTTCAGCCTAGGGCCTCAAGATCAAGAGGGGCCTATATTCAAATTGTTAGCAAAATTAAAATTACACTTTCACTATAGGTGAAAGGGCCTCATAAGTGGAATAGCCTCATAAGTGGAATAGCCTAGGGCCTCTTTTCATCTAAATCCGGCCCTGACTTCAGCATTCATAAAGAGTTCAGAATTCAGAAACCAGTATTATAGACCAGAGTCAAGGCTTCAGCCCTGTAAAACAGTAGGAAAGCCATATAAATATGTGTACTTGTGCAGAAAGGGCCTTCTTAAGTGAGCATATTAAGAATTTCTCCACATTACTCTGTTTATTCTTATTCATCAACAAATTTCTTCCTATAGAACACAATCTGTATGTCCGTTTGCTCAATCTGAAACATTGCCTTCTAATGGTCTGTATGCATTCTGAACCTACTTTAACACCTTGGAACAAATTACATTGGCTGCATAATTCCAAATATTGCAATTGAAATAAATTAGAGAAAATAAATATAAACCGTGTGGCATGAAGACACAAAAGGGGGAGGAGAAAGGGGAACTGAATTGTGCATTGACAGTGTATTGACAATTGATCTAGTGTGCAAGAAATTAGATTCTACATTGCTTTGTTGTTTTGTTTGGAGCCAACTTTCAGAATTCCATGCCATTAAAATGACTCACACTTTGCACAAACTGCAAACAGCAATAAAAGCTCTATTTATTTCGAGACTGGCATCCACTTAATCTCTCTTACGATGCAACTATTGAACAGTCCGTTAGAAAGAATAGTACTTAGATTCACGGTTAGTTAGAAAAGTGCCTCCACAAACTCTATGTCTTAGGAGAGAGAGAGAAAAAAAAATCTATTTTTAGTTAGCTAGCTGTGCTGTAATGGTGAGAACCATTTGCACATACAGGACCTATGAAGTGGCAGCAATATGATATAAATAGCTTATTTCTGTAATCCCTAAATTATGCACTCGCGGCGAGTTTTAAGATCTTGCACCAAGCAGTTGAGATACTAAGGGTTATCTTGAAGCAAAATTATTGGCAGACCTTGTAGTGAAAACTTTGAACCTGCAGCCCTGGTTTGGTGAATGGAGGAAAATCATAGCCACAGAAATGTCAGGGGAATGGAAAATGATCCCTCTGGTGGAGATATGCAGGAGGTTTGCTGCTCTGCTGCCTGTCAGGTAGGGGTGGGGGAACAGGAGATGTCAACTGAGAAATCATCAGGGTCATGTGTACCATTGGTAAACACACTAGGAGAAGTGCATCAAGTGATGGAACAAGACAATATTACACTTTCATCCCCAATAGTGAACTTTCCTGAACTCCTGTGTTTACTGCAGCTGAACCAAGATGGAGAATGGAAGATCTAAGAAATCTCTTGATAAAAAGATTGAGATCATTCCAAATTGTAGACAGAATCCTAGTATATTCTATCAAATTGATTAACTGTGTTGCCAGGTTCCCCCTATATAGTGCATCCTACAAGAAGACTGGTAGGTTTTTTTGTGAAAGGAAGAATCTGTTTTAAATATTCTGTGCTTATTTTCACATAGAGAATCATATTGTGGTTGACTTCGTGCAACCCACTAAACTTATAATTGTGTTCCTTAATTTTTAATCTTGTGTTATGTAAGCCTAGGAAATCAAGTTAATTTAGTAAAGTTTGATTCAGTTAATGATTTTACTCTGGGTTTTGCCAGAAAACTGTTCATTCTTTCCAAGCTGCCATTTTGTCTCTTTTCCTGCTAGACAATATTTTTTTAGTTTTCTCTTCCATGTGGCATTTCATGCTGCAGCTACTGAGCATGCTCTGTGTATCCTAGGCTATTTCTTGTGAGGATTTCCAGGGATGGAATTCTTTCTTTCAATCACTGCAACCATCATCAGCTCATTCTCCTTTGGGCATGCTTGATACTGACATACATTACTCAAATGCATGGAAATGTTGGTTTTCCAGGATTCACAGTCTTGCCTTTCCAAGGTGATGTGGAGAGACCTTTTCTATGGAATATATTTCCACCAATTCATTTCTAAGCTGGCAATAGAGGAAGATAAATCTTTTTCCCCACATCCTGTGTGGAAGATGCCAAGTAAACAGAGACAGAGCAAAAATTCTGCTCTGGTATCTCTCTGCATTTCTATATTAAACGAGGAATATTAAATAAGTCACTTTTTACCTCAGCCAGCATAGACATGCAACAGGCTCCTGTCCTTACTGTAGCAATGTGGCTCGGTTTATAATTAACTGAGATAAATGGATATTTAGCTCCTGTAGCTGCAGGCTCCTAACTAAGCAGCATATCAGGATTCATAATTTCTGATGATTTCATCAATTTTTTTTGCATATATCTCTCTCATGCAAAGGATCTGCTCACTGGAAACATCATGACTTCCTTGTGTTTTCAGAACTATAACCCAACCGCAGTGGTACTAGGTTCTAGTGGTTGCTCTCAGTTCCATGCATAAGACTTCATAGAATCCATTTATAAGCAAAGGCAGCTACAAATATATTTGTTCAGGTAATGTCCAGATTATACATTTGTTTAACCACCCACAAGATCAGTAGTTGAAATATAAGCAATTGCCTGGGGAGGAAAGTTTATCTGTATGCTAATGCTGAATGTGGGAAGAATATTTTTTCTGCTGTTAAGGTTGAATGAATGAGAACAGGTGTACTCTATTACAATCCCAATTAATTGAATTGTCCTTTGGTTTATCTTTCAGAATGTGCACAAGTATTTCATTCAGGAGGAGCAAGGCTGATTTTGTGTGGGAAATACCTGGACAAATTAGAAGCTCTCTGTGATGCTTTAAATAGTGCGGCTGATCCTACTGCAGTAAGACTCTTGCATATCCTTAAAGATTTATATATAATTTTTTAAAATTTTTTAAAGACAAACAAACATTTAATACATCAATCCTCCCTTCCCTGTAATGCCTCGGTGTTATCTTCTAGGCTTCTTTTCCATCTTCCATGAGTTTCTTCTATCTTCACATTCATCCAAACTATTCTAATATTTCATTTCTAAATCAATATTATAGTCACCATTTATACACTTAAAGATTTATATAAAGGCATCAAAAGAGACACTTGATCTAGAATGGCCAAGCAATTTTTTCAGGGTTTTTGAATTAAACATTTCTTCCCAACAAATTAATTACTTACAGAGCCAATTATACCATTAGGTAGAAGTAGGAAGGAGGTTTCCTTACCTATTTTCATCTTACTTGAACAAATAAGGGTTACACAGTGTCTCCTTTGCCTTCCTTAAAATATTTATTGGTCTTAGACACAGGGAAGGAAATTGCTGGCCCATTGCTTGTATTGAACTAAAGATCACTTGCTACTCAAGCTCAGGAAGGCAAATACTTTTCCCTGCTTCTACTATAAAGGAACATGAGCGATCAGCATAAATTTGAGAAGGTAAATACAAGTAAGAAAAGACAAGTGGTTGAAGAAATTATAGGACAAAAGAAAACACATGAAGGATTATATGATTATATTCCAGCCTTCCCCAGTTTGGAAACTTCCAGAAGATTTAAATTATCATTTCCAGCATGTCCACCTGTGGATGAGGAATGAAGGCAGTAACTAACAACTTAGTTTTGGAAATTGTTGGAATGCTGAAGAAGGCAGTTAAGGATTAATTTACTGTTCTATGAACATAGGCAAATTATGAAATCTAATTCTGTTCCTCACATGCAAGTAAGATATGGACCTTATGTCATTTATTTACTCACTTGTTATTTGTTTATTAAACTTATATATCACCAATGTTGCCAAAGAGACTCTAGGCAGCTTGCAATTAAATGATAACATTTAAGTATAGCACAGCCTAGTAATGACAGTACAATGCATGAATTTGCCAGCTTGCTGGAGAGGCACTTGTCTGAAGATAGTAGCAACCTAATAAAATGCACATGTAAATAAATAAAGTATTTAATCTCTAATTATCTTGTTCATGCACCATAAAAAGATACATTAGAAAGACACATCATGTAAAAAAAACCCAAAACCCTAGAAAAAGCATATCTTTCAATTGAATAACTCTTAGGGGTTAAAGGATGGAAATAGACCATAGGCTGTAATATACAGTTTCAGAAAAAAAATAGATTAGTATTCAGTATTTCAAACAGTATTCCGGGCATACAGTGTAAATATTGCAATATTTTTAAGGTAAAGGTAAAGGTTCCCATCGCACATATGTGCTAGTCATTCCCGACTCTAGGGGGCGGTGCTCATCTCTGTTTCAAAGCTGAAGAGCCAGCGCTGTCCGAAGATGTCTTCGTGGTCATGTGGCTGGCATGACTAAATGCCAAAGGCACACGGAACACTGTTACCTTCCCACCAAAGGTGGTCCCTATTTTTCTACTTGCATTTTTTTTACATTTTACATTTTACATGCTTTCGAACTGTTAGGTTGGCAGAAGCTGGGACAAGAAACGGAAGCTCACCCCGTTACGCGGCACTAGGGATTCGAACCGCTGAACTGCCGACCTTTCGATCAACAAGCTTAGCATCTTAGCCACTGAGCCACCGCGACCCCTGCAATATTTTTAGTGTTAGATCAAAACTAACTTATTTCCCAAGGCAGTTTAAAATTAGTTTTATTGCCTCTCTTTGCAATTGTATAATTTTGTTACCTCACAGTATTGACTTATATAATGAATGATCGCAGGTTTTATTGGATGTTACTGGAAAATATCAAAATTAAGGTCAGTCTAATTAGTTTGCTTTTAAACGATGAATGAAGGATGCTGCCTTACACTTACACATGCTCCACATATTTTTTCCATACAAATAATCACAACCAGTTATTTCCAAATTTAAGGTCAGACAATTACCGGTATATAAACTGACAAATAGGTGATCCTGGATTTAAACAAGAGTACTACCAAATCTTTAAAAGTAATACTTTTTTTCCTAAGGAACTGTTACTATTTATACTTTTAATACATCAATTTTACTTCATCTTTGGATCTGATTGCCTCCTACATACCGTGTTTCCCCAAAAATAAGACCCTGTCTTATATTTTTTTGAACCCTTAAATAAGCGCTTGGACTTATTGCTATGCGCTCAAAAGCCCGATTAGGCTTATTATCAGGGGATGTCTTATTTTAGGGGAATCAGGGTAGTCATGGTCATCTGATAAACCCCATTTCTTTTACCGTGAGCCATATGACTGGGAACTTTGGGAGCAGAAGATCCAAAAATAGGCAAGTCACCAAACGGGGGAAAGTTCTTTATTGTCTCTAGGAATTATTTCTCTTTTTTGTGTTGTGAAGTATTATGCTTCAAAAAAGTACTGGTATATCTCTGTTTTATAAAACTGTAACCCTCAAACCTTTCTTCTTTTGTAGACATTTTCACCAAAGCTTATCCTTTTAGATCTCGCTGATGTAAACTGTATCCAAGATGTAGCTAAAGAAATCCTGGATTGTTATGGATGTGTGGATATTCTCATTAATAACGCTAGCACAAAAGCCAAGGGGACAGTTCAAAACGTGTCACTGGAACTCGACAAAAAGATCATGGATGCCAACTACTTTGGACCTATAACACTCACCAAAGGTATACAGAAGACTGCCTCTCTTATCTTCTCATGTTTTAGGAATACAGGGAGTCCTTGATTTACCACCATAATTGAGCCCAAAATTTCTGTTGCTAAATGTGACAGTAATTAAGTGAGTTTTGACCTGTTTTACAACCTTTCTTTCCACAGTTGTTAAGTGAATCATTGAAGTTGTTAAGTTAGTAACACAATTGTTAAATGAATCTGGCTTCCACATTGACTTTGCTTGTCAGAAGGTCGCAAAAGGTGATTACACGACCCCGGGACACTGCGACCGTCATAAACAGAAGTCAATTGCCAAACTGAATTTTGATCATGTGACCATGAGGATGCTGCAACCATCGTAAGTGTGGGAAATGGTCACAAATCGCTTTTTTCCGTGCCATTGTAACTTTGAATGGTCAAATGAATTGTTGTAAATCAAGGACTACCTGTACTATATTTTTGCTTTTGAAAGGAAGGAATCCTTAGTAATTTTATGTATATACATACAACAAACTAGCTCAAATTTATTTCAGTTTAATTGTCATGCCTTTCCCCAGATAATTTCCAGGATGTAGAGCTCCACCCAAATCTAATTGCCTCTGGAGGAAATAAAATGTTATCTGTAGGGCAACATGCTTTAATTTCTGATAACTGTTTCAACTCTTACTAGACTTGACTCAGTGGCGTATAACTACTTCAAACACCTCTAGTGACTGTAATCTATCATTTCACATGGAAAAGTGGAGGATGGAGAGAGAATTGGAAGTGGTTAAATAAAAGAAAATGAGGTAGTAACTTTAGCAGCTTGTGCTGACATCTGCCTTGATTGCAAACTCGGGTGCATTGTGGAAGTATTCCAAAGACTTGCTGAGTTTGATGAGAGATTTATTAATGAAGGGGATTTGGCAGAATATTGCTTGCTGGTAAAGCATTTTCCCCTAATAGTATATGTATCTAATGACTGGATTGCTGGGCTCAGCCTTACTGGAGGTGTTTACTGTAGCGGGTTAGATGCCACTGAGTCAGCCCTGACCCCTGGGGAGTGTATGGAAAAATACCTGTCATCTTAACCTTTCTCTGGTGATAACTACAGCTGCTTTGGTCTTTGACCATAAAATCAATCCAATACATTCAACAAGTTGTTCAATTGTTGACTGATTGATAATGCACAGCTCTTCCAAGGACCTTCCAATTCTAATATTAGCCATCTCCAGGGATGTATTAGTTACAATAAAAGGGAACAAACAAGAGTCCAAAATTGCAGTCATCTAGTGCAGCAGCATTAGCCTGTCTTAGGTATCTACAGTGTTTTGCAGGGAATGTAACACATGTGTACATTATGAGACTGCTAATTGCTGCAGAAGCCAAATAATCTGTGGATCCATTGGAGCTGTCTGCATCCAGCTAACCAAATGAAGCTTCCCGTCCTTCAAAAAAAAACTCTACTCTACACTTTGGGGAGTGGGAAGAATCCATAGGATCTAGCTTACACATTTTGGTTAAATGTAACAAGAATGACTCAATACACCAGTTCAAAAGCTGGGATTCATTCTATGTGCTCTTTGTTGTAATTCCTCATCCCATAACTACATTGAGCACATTTACACCTTGCCCAATACTAGTCCATTTGCCACACGCCTCAAATATTTATGTGCTATGAACTAATCTCTGCAGCAAGAGTCTGACTCTTGGGAACTTTTAGTTTGGAGTCCAAGGGGAGGTTAATCACATCTCCTGGGTTTGCTCATTAATTTTTCACTAACAACTCTCCATGGATGATTTTGTTGCAGCTATATTATGTCCTGCTTCTGAAGTCCTCAAAGTGATTTGAAATGAATGCTAACAGTAAACCCCAAAAATAATTACAATTCATCTGTGTTTTTGTGAAAAAGTATCTCAGATGTGTGGTACGGTCAAGAATATAGAGATGTGGCTTATCCAGGAAAAATAAAAGAGTGAGGAAATATATAAACTCATCCATTAGCTGTTGGACATCATACAGTATCATTCACCTTTTAAAAGCTGCTAGTTCTCAGATTACATCCTGGCTGTTTCAGATTGTATCTTGCCTGCATGTCCTGCCAGATTAATAATGTGCTTCCAGATCACATGGATCTGACTCAAATTTAGATCATAGTACATTTCCAAAGGTTTACTTTTCATTTTATAATATATTCACACATTATTGTTATTGAGCGTACGGTCCTCCATCTGCAATCATGTATTTCCTCTACTGCATCTTCATCTTTCTTCCCACTATAGAAAAATCTGTTTAAAAAGGTAAATGGCAGATAAATGCAATGTTTTTTTTTTAAATTACTAGTGATATGCATCCTCCATCTGGAAGCATCCCAAACTCCTAAGTAGCAATTATAATGTGGAGAGATCTCATTCTAAAATGAGAAATGATATGGAGTTTCCACGCAAAGGTTATGTTTTATGTCTGTCTCAGGACACAAACTCATCAGTTGAATGGTGCTAGTTGCCATTTGCTTTCTGCTGGTGCACAGAAAGGAAGAAAAACCTCCACCAGGTTTGAAGTCTTTGGAAGACAGTCGCTTCCTACGGTACTTCCTGTTAGTTCTGCATTGGGTAGACAGCGTATCTTACCTTTCAGCAATAATTAGTTGAAAGGGTCTGTGATTGGCAGTTGACAAGAAGAATGCAAAGGAGAAATGGACTGGATTAGCATTCAGTGGGAATTGTTTGCAAACTGAATGGTGTATGGCATGGCCAAGGTCATTGTTTTAATTTTACAGGGATGTAAAATTCAAGGCCCGTGAGCCGAATTTGGCCTACAGGGTGTTTAGATCTGGCCCGCAGGGCTACCCTGGAAACAGTGAAGGACCGGCCCACGGTGTCTCTGCCAGTAAAAACAAAGCGGCCCTCCCGAGCTCTGTTTTCACTGGCAGAGGGTTGCAGGAGGCCGGCGCAGCCGAGAATGAAGCTTGAATCCCCATTTTTACTGGCAGAGCTCTCGGGCCACCACAGGCGCCCCCGACACAAGTGATGTCAAGCTGGCTCTGCCCACCCTGGCCATGCCCACCCTGGCCCCCCAAGGTCAACCCTGATGCGGCCCTCAATGAAATCCAGTTTGACACCCCTGTTTTAAACTAAAGGATGGATCTATGGTTGGTTGTATAATTATTTACTACGTGTAAAAGAAAATACGGGGGGGGGGGGAATTAACTGCAAATAGCATGAAATGCCCAGAGTCATCTTATAGGGGAGATGGGTGGAATAAAAAAAAATGATAATAAAACATAAATAAAATGATGAAACCATGCTCAGTAATAAGTTAATGCTAAAAATAATAGGTTAGAGAGGGACAGCATGCTTTGCATGGATTAAATGCATGCATTTTTAATACAGGTTTTTTTTACAAGACCTTTCTTGGAAGTGGATAATAATCCTAATAATGATTGACTTAAATATTGTGCAAGGAAAAAATAATTTTCCTGAGTGGGAAGCAATTACTGCTACAAAAAAAAAAAAAAAAACCAATTAAAAAATACAGACTTTTGATGTTGCTGTGATTATACACTAATCTATTTACAATGAAAAAGACAGAAGCAAAGATAGGAATTGTCATTTAAAAAAATATTTTTGTTGTTGTTTAATTGCTAAACATTTTAAAAATGCACACAAATGAATTCCAGCATTGTTACCTGGATAGCTAATGGCAGAGTGAATGTGAACTAAGCCAGCTCTGCAAGACAGTCTAGCATTATTATGCCAAATTTTCAGGCAAGGGTAAATGGGATATTACTTCCTACAGCAGTGTTTCTCAATTCCCTTGCCGGCTAGGGAATTCTGGGAGTTGAAGTCCACACATTTTCAAGCTGCCATGGTTGATAAACACTGTCTTACAGAGTTATCCACAGTGATGAAATCCAATTTTTTTTTTACTACCGGTTCTGTGGGCGTGGCTTGGTGGCGTGGCTTGGTGGGCATGGCAGGGGAAGGATACTGCAAAATCTCCATTCTCACTCCACTCCGGGACCAGCCAGAGGTGGTATTTGCTGGTTCTTTGAACTACTCAAAATTTCTGCTACTGGTTCTCCAGAACCTGTCAGAACCTGCTGGATTTCACCCCTGGTTATCCAGGACTGTTATTCAGGTGTCTGTCATACTATTTTGTTTTAAGGGAAATGTAATGAAAGAGTTGAAATTAATTGTAGTATAAAGCAAAGACTCCCTCAAGCTGAGCTCTGGTAACTACATGGCTATAATTTTTAGAGCCTTTATATGGAAATAATTTGCTGTTGCCTTGATCTGTTTTTATGATTTATTTCCCAAACTAGCCTATAATCATAGGATTTATTGATAGTTTTCCATCCAAGTATGACCCAGGTCCAAACCTATTTAGTTTTCTGATGGTTGGCACACTAGACTACAGCAATGTTCATTGACAAAGAACTGGAGAATTTGTCAGGGTAAAAAATGTCAGTGTTTAAAAGGTTGCAGATTTTCTTTTCCAACCTCCTAGAATGGGGTCTTTTCTCTCTTTGAGGAAATCTGAGTGTTGAGTAGTTTTGTTGAAGATGTGGCTGCTTAATATCTTGTTTCATATTGTAAAGATCTCTATTGGATATATTCAATCTCTTGTGGATCACCTAGAAGAAATTACATTAATTGACAGTGCATTGATGAAAGCAACCAAGGAAATTATTTATTTCTTCATCAGATTTATGCCCTCCCTTTCATTCCCCCCCCCATGACATTCAAGGAATTAGCAATTACCTAACTGCTTATTAATGGATCAGAAACATTTCTGCCTTATCTGCATTGATCAGCAATGCATTTTTATTCATCCCAGGCACAATATCAATTGCTATTTTAGTATCTGAAACGTTTTCTCAACTTTCCGTTCCTGAGGAATCTAGCTACAGGTAGAAAAAAAATATTGTCTGAAACCTATGTTTACCACTGAAAAATGCATATATAGAAAAAAAAAGTTTCATGGCTTCTATATACCGTAGTATAGTATAAGCTGATATACTGTGATCTTTTCATTTGGTATTAGTTTAGTGGATCAGGAAGTAGTATTTTCATTTCTATTAATCTGGAAAAAATTTCTCTTATATTTTGCTCTCCAGCTTTTCTTCCCAACATGATCTCCAGGAGAACTGGTCAAATTGTGCTAGTCAACAATATCCAGGGGAAATTGGGTGTTCCCTTTCGTGCAGCCTGTGAGTTTATGAATCTAACTTGTTATTTCTTTTTATTTCTGGGCAATTAGAACAATATGAAACTTGAGGTCTTCCAATTAGAGTCTAAAACCACTGGAGAATCTTAAATATTTTTGAGTTTCTTTGAAGCTAGCTATTATTACAAGAAAGACAAAGAACTTCAGTTTCACCAAGTAAGAATAGGCTTCAATTCTATCACATGCTATCTTCAGTGGTCTTCCATATTTTTCAGAAGTTACAAATGGACTTGATCATCTGAATCCATGTATTCATCCATATTATTACAGACAATGCCACCAAACAATATTTTCAGTCATCTGAGTACTCCATTTGGATGTAGGCAAACACGCAATTTGTTTGATTTTGATTAAATGTACAAACTATAATCTAGGGTATAGTGCAAACTCACGTCATTGTGGCTTACTCAGTCATGATTATACACAACATAGTGCAGCATGATGTATGAACCTTGTTATTATCTTCTACTAGTTCCTGTCTTTTAAGAAATTGTGAAACTGGTAACTGCTGATAGCTTTGATTGTGTAGGTTGTCTGATTGGTGGGAGGTTTTTTTTGTTTTTGTCTTTTTGCTGAAATTACTTGGGATAATGGATAGTTTAAGAAATACTTAAGGGACTTGTGGACAGTCTATCCACAAGTCCAGCTGTACAAAATGTGCTTCTCCCACCAATGAATCCAATTTTACAAAAAGCTGGCAAATGCATTGTTCTTACTTAATATAAATCAAGATAAGGAAATAGATTCCCTTGGTTTTATATTCCCTCCCACCAAATGTCACCCTCTGATGTGAAAAAGAATCATCCTCCTTAACATAGGATAGGATAAATTATTGTAAACAGAGGTTCGGAATGGCAGGTTTAGCCACCTGTCAGATTACTCAATTGGTAGACTCTGGGAAGGGCATGGAGAGAAACAGGAGGGAGATTAGATGGAGCTCCTGGTAAGAGCAGCTCCTCCTCCAAACCTCAGAAACATCAGATGAGGAACCAAGAAGACCAATATTGAATTTATGGCCGACAGCCCTAAAGAAGGAGCCATTGAGATATTGTGATTGGCCAGTACATAACAACAGTCATTACTCTGACATCTAGCTTTGTCCAAATAGAATGGAACAGAAAAATGCCATCACACTCCCCTCAGGTATTACAAATAACAATGGTGAACTGCATGAACACTGCAAATACAGTTGCATAATACTGGTTCTAGAGACACTGAATGATCAGATGATAATCACAGCAGTTGTGTATAGGTCCTCAGGAATAAAAGTAGTAAATATAATAACACCACCACCATGTGAATCAGCAATATCCAGATGACAGAAGCCTGTCTGTAACCTGCTTTACACTGACTATGTGGCAGAAGGCTAGCACCTTTTTAGGGATTTTTTCTATACTTCCAAGACACAGGTTGAGCGTTCTTTCAGGAAGCCCTAAACCTGTGTTGTAAGGAGCCAGCATAAGATTTGACAAGTGCTGCAGCAAGCCTTGGGTCAGCCTTATGGAGTCAGAATGTTTTGTGGAAGCCAGGCTTCTAGCCTCTTCAGCAGCATAAGCCAAAAGGGACACGGAGGGTAGTTTCCTGGAGAGGGGTGGTGGGCTGCTTGAAGCAGCACAAAGAAACCAATAAGAACCAGGCAGATCCCACCTGCTTACCACATCAACAGCCATGTCGCCAGTGAACTGTGGCAGGACAAAAACTATTTAGGAAGACAGAAGAAAACACGATTTTGAAAACTTGTACAGTTAAGGATAACATTAAACTACCTCAGTTATGGGCTGGAGATGAAAGGGAAGGGAAAGAAAGCAATTACCAAGGTATGCTCATGGCATGAGGAAAATGAGGAAGCACCTAGAATAAGCATGTTTTGTAACAAATATGGCTTATATTTTATTTTATTCTTTTCTTGATATAGGAAATCAGATGAGCTAATGTGGATGGATGGATGGATGGATTTTTGGATGGATGGGTATTTGGTATATTATAATTAGTATGTTTCTTGCATGAATCTCTCCCTTTCTCTTAGATTCTGCTTCGAAGCATGCTGCTCTAGGATTCTTTGATTGTCTGAGAGCAGAACTGCAGGAATTTGGTGTTTGTGTCAGTACTGTGTCTCCAAGTTTTATATGTTCTGTTCATAATCAGCTGCAACCTAAGAACTGTGAAGGCGCCTCATGGAAAAGTAAGTCCTTCACACAGGGATGGGGACCAGAACACATGCAGAACTAAAAGATAAAAATACCTAAGATGACAAAGATGATTTAGGCAAATAACTTGCTGACAAAATTCAAAATCACCAGTCTTTGGAGACAAAGACTTACAATACATTCCCTCTAAAGAACCTAGTGTCATCAAGCTTTGATATTTCAGAACCATGAGTGATGAATTGTAGTTGGAACATAAGGCAGTCCATTAACTAGAAGCATAAATTTTTGCTTTCAAAAGTAGGGAATGCTAGTGTTAACTCTTGGCATTCATACATATTTTTCTGTCCAATTAATAAATACGGGCAAACCAGTTGTAAAATACTTAGAAAAGACATTATTGCTTGTTCCCTGCACAGAAAACAATACATTGGCCATGAACCACTACTGTATCATAAGTAACAAAAAATGAGTGTTTTTGACATCCTTGTGATAAATAATGCAATTCCCCTCCTAACATGGCCACTGGCCTTTTAAAGAAAAAAATGACTTTTCTCTGCCTTTAAAATGTAGAGTTAAAAGTAAGGGAGAATGCATCCTTCATTTTGACATACTGGAGCAGGTTTTAACATTTTGTTTAAAAGTTTTGAGTCTTCTTTTTATTGTGTAGTCTATTAAACGCAACAAACATTAACCTGTCTGCCTGTTCTTCTGGAACAATATTTCACCATTTTAAGATTCCTTTCAGCATTTTTATTTATTCTTTTTCTTTGATGTAGTATCTTCCCTTCATTCCTACAAATTTCTTTCCTTCCCTGTCCCCACAATGACCTTCATATTGTCTTTGAAATGAGACAAGACCATGACACATAGCAGCTAGTTATCTCTTTTAATACTTTCTTGTTTGCCCAATTCTCAGACTTCTTCCGAAAGTCAGCTTATGGTGTCCGCCCATCAGAGGTAGCAGAAGAAATTCTACGGACAGTGAACAGGAAGAAGCAGGAAGTGTTCATGGCAAACCCCATTGCAAAGGCAGCTGTTTATATTCGCACTTTCCTCCCAGAGATATTTTTTGCTGTGGTTGCTGCTGGAGTGAAAGAAAAACAGAAAATTGAAGTTGAAAACTGATTGCAACAAGTTCATCTCCCTTGGTAAAAGAGTTATGCCAATTCTCTCTTGCAGAGGCTAGAGATAGGCATCTTGGAAGAATGTTGTATAAATCCAAATGAGACAAAAACAAAAGCAAAAAAATCCCAAAGTTGTGTTTAAGGATCTGGAGGCAGTGGAATAGGATATGGCTTTTTCATCTATCATTAAAAGTGCACTGCTGGGCTATGAAAGAGAGCAAAGGACATTTTTTCAGGGTGCCAAGTGAGTCATCTGAAATGGGGCTACTAGTTTCCTGGACAATTTGCTATTTCAAGAGAGTTAATAGAAAGCATGAATTGTCTGCGTGTTGGGTAAAGTGTTCAGAGCAGGCGTGAAGGTCAAAAGGTAAAACTAATATTGGAAAAATGAGGAATTTCAGGAATCGGGGAGAATATGAGCGATGGACGTGTGGAAAAGAAATAGAGAGTATAGGAAGTATATGAGGTTCTGGTTTCACACCAGAGTGCATGGATCTTAGAAAGCAGATTGGTTTGACATTTAGGAAATTCTCACAGGAAACAGAAAAAGGTTTCATAGCATTTGCCTTTTTGGTGTGATTAACTGAACCTTTCAAATCTGCAGTAATGCTTGGTTTTTATAGCTTTTAGTTCTAAAAAATTAAGCAAATGCCTGGTGTGGGGATGAAACATTCCATGTTTCAAAATGTTGCATTGCTTTCATTCCACATGGGTAGATATGTCCAGTTTGGGGCAACTGCATCACTTTTTTAAAAATACATATCCTCAAGATAGTAGTGGGGAGCATATGATGAAATGTGTATCACAATGTTACATGACACACATCTTTATGATTTACCTGCTGGTGTCAGGTAAGACACCAGAACACAAACGTATAAGAACAGATTATATATCATAATGTCAGCATGCATGTGTTGTTAGCATGCATGTGTTGTCAATTTTACACAACCCTGACTTGTTGCAGATAAAGCAACCAACCACCACTGGTAGATTCATGGCTTTGATGAATATTGGCACTGATCTTCTCACTCTGCCTCCTTCTCCTCATGCAATGCTACAGGTTCACAGAAATCTCAAAATGTAAAGATATTATAGCTCTAAACACAAAAAGTATATCTTTCCTTAACATTTTTATCTTTGCTGTGCCATTATAGTAATAGTACAAAGGCAGCAGCAACACTCAAATTATCTCAGAAAGGTACTCCACTTTAAATTTGGAATTAGGGACAGGCATCACAAATTCCAAGTCTTCTCTAATGTTTCAAACTAGAATAGATTGTGACTGGATATTCTGATGAGGCTAGTTATAAATTCAGTACATTGCTAAACCTCCAATTCATTGGTTATGGCTACGAGGTGGTATGAACTTTTATCGATCAGATGATCCAACTATGCAGTTTCTTGGGATTTAAATTCTCAAGTGATATTTGTTGTGATTCATCTTCAGTCAGGCCCCCACATCTGAACTGGAAAAAAGTAAAAGGCACCAGGCTAGATACAAGGAGATGGTGAATTCTACTCTGGCCTGAGCCATGAAAGCTGACTTTGGTCCAGCCACTCTCTCTCAGCTCAACCACCTCTCAGGGTTGTTGTAGTGGGGAAAATAGGAAGATGTATTGTGTATGTTCACCATCTTGAGTTACTTATAAAGTAATAAAGATGGGATTTTAAAAAATCGAATAAATAAAATCAAAATGAACACTAGAAATCCACAAAGTATTAGTGTTTGCTATATGTCTTTGTTGCCATCTAGTGGTCATTAGAATTTTTGGAGCCCAATTTGAATTCTCTTGCCGCGTACAATGTGTTCTGGGTCTGGCTTGACTTGCATTTTTCCCTCAAAATAATTGTTCCCCACGTAACCTTGCTATTTCCCCTTCTGCCCACCCCACACATACACACACACCGGTCAAACAACAACTCTTGTCATTCCCAGGCAGCATGGCCCATAGTAGCACCAATGGGGGATGATAAGGGTGATCATGCAGGAGCTTAAATTAGGGGAAGCTTGAGACTGAGATAAGAACAGTAAAAAGTGAAGGTAGATGAGTGAAGTTAATCAAGAGATTTATAGACAGAGACTACGTTTTAAAAAAAATGGAGAAAAATGTCCCTAGCTTGGTTCAGCTATTTTATATAGCAAATCTATGGGAGTCACCAGGTTGGGAAAAGTGATCTATTCACCACAGAAATGAGAATGTTTATATTCTTACTATCTGAATATGGTTTGTAGAAAGACTATGCACACTACTGCGAGTATGAGGATGTCCATTGTTAGTGAAAAGGAATGGGAAGTAAGTGGGAGAAAATTTACTCTTTGTGAAAGTGCTGCATATGTTGCCTGAATGAGAGAGGGGGGCGCTGAACTGAAAGATGGCTGCTGTTAGGCTTTTATTTGGTGCAATGTCTTGTAATGTTGGCTCCTGAAGAGTGTGCCTTCGGGAGATGTGTTCAATCTTTCTCTGTTCCACTGCCTGTTTATTTCTCTCCCCATCACCACTTGACATTTTGTTATTCTCATCAATAAAAGCAATTGAAAACACATTCACTGATTTAGAAACAGCCATGAGGGAAACAGTGGATTAGCATACTTAAAGTTGTGATCCCTTTTCTTCCACATTTCAGGGCCAACAATCTTGCCTTGGGGTGATATAAATAAAACTCCTGTTTGAATAATGTTTGTGAGTTCCTCTTTCTTGTCCTCTGCTCAGAGTTGCATTTCTGCTATTGTCATGCAAATTTAGCTGTTGCTAGTACAATGTCTCAGGGGTGTTTTCATTTACTTTTCCTCTTTTAAACCGAGTGGGTCCAACATAGTAAAAAAAAAAAAATGGTTAAGACTGAAGCGCCAAAAGGCTGCCATAACAGAGCTGAGATTTTGAGCTCTGCCCAAGAAAATTAGTCTCTGAAACCCAACCCGCCCCCTCCAATTCCTAAACATGGAGAACCATCAGCTGCAAGATCAAATCAGCTAGGCTAATTTTAATGGGAAAAGAGAGTCCTGAAAGTAACTTGAGCCAAGCAATAAAAAGCTTTATAGATTAAGTCTACAGAAAGCCAATGCGGTGCCCATAGTTGTAATATATTTCCACTGGTGAGCCCTGGATTGTACATAGGCTGCTGCATTTTGAAACAATTGAAACTCCCAAGTGATTTTTAAAGGTAAGCCCATGTTGAATGCATTGCAGCAGTCTGAATAAGCTGTAAAGAAAACCTGATTCACTGTAGTTAGGGCCTCAACTGGTGTCAGGTAAAGGCCCTATTAGCCATGCCTTCTACCTGTTATTTCAGCAAGAGCTACAATTCAGATAATCCCCAAACCATAGAGCTTCTGGTCCATGGGTTGTGCTACCATATTTAGCTCCCCCAGAGCCCCAATGGGGAAACTATAACACCATCTTGCTAATATTTAATTTTAGATTGTATTTTTACATTCAAACCTTCACAGCTTCTAGACACCAAGACCTGAAGAGTATAACCATATGACTCAAGTAAAGATGTAAAACTGAGTATCATCAGCATACTGATGGTATTGAACCTTAAAATGACAGGTGATCCCTTCCAGTTACTTTATGTAGATATTAAATAGTAGTGGGGAGAAGACCAACCCGTATAGCACTCACAGGGGAACAACTATCAAGCCAACATCCCCTTTCCTACCATACAGTCCTGGTGATACCAGGATTTTTGTCTGCTATTAAATATGGGACAAAATACATCTAACAAAATCCCTAAAGAATTTAAAAGAACAATGTATAAACTGATCCTGAGAATCAGCATATAAGTGCCTGAGTTATGTTTAATTCATCAATTCAGATAATACACCCTATTCAAATAAATGTCCAAATCCATATTCTAATAATGTCGAAAGATTTAGCTGTTCCATCTCAAAAACAATACTGCAATACCTGAAAGTTTGCAGAAAAAGGAAGAGGCCAATTTTCTAAGGCAAAAGATGAATGCATTGGAAGCCCCTTAGTTTATGTGAAACATGCATAGATACAAGATGAAAAAATTGCCCTCTCTGTCCTGGGGAGAATTAAGTAGATTTTTGCAAACTTCCTATCTGTTGGCAGGGCCTCCAGGGTGTGGTTAGTAGACAAAATTAGTGATTTGAGGAAATAATGTCTGAATTATGTTGAAAGAAAACATGATTAAGATGGTGTGGGGACAGAGGATAAAAATAATTTTTGTTTCTGTCATAACATTGGAGTTTTGTAATATATACTTTTATCCAATTATGTCAAGCATGACAAATGTTCTCCTTTTCATTTTATTGGAACAATATCCAAACCAAGATTGTAATTTGGTCCACAAGTTGAAGAAGGGAAGAGTTCCAAGTAATCCATGGTGAACTGAGCTATTTTTTGAATCACTAAATGTAGAGACAAGTCAAATCTATGTTCTATATATAGATATGAAGTACTATATATACTCCTTCAAGATGATGTCAGGCATAAATTTGAAAAATTTGTAATGAATTTCTCACAAATTCTAATGCCTTTTAGGCAGAGTCCTTGGTAAAGAATTCAAATGCTAGGAAACCTAAGAGACAGTGCAACAAATAAGCAGAGAGTGAGTATGTTTAAACAAAAAGCAAAATTAAAAAAAATGGTTACTTACATCACTGAATTTATTTATGTCTCATCATCTGCTCTAAAAAGATCTGTGCCAAAAACAAAGATTATTCTTTAAAAGTAAATAGAATAAAACTGAAATAACACTGCTTTCCAAAAAGCAACGCAAAAGAAATTCAAAGAAGAAAAAAAGATAACTTTATCGTATTTCTTCTAGTTCTCATACATCTAAAAAGGTACTATTTTTATCACAAACAGCAACTTTCAAACTCTTTTTAATCAACTCATTCCCAATCAGCTGTCAGCAATATATCTGCACACCCAGGTGATTTTGTTTGAAATTTGGTGAAATTCCTGCAGAAGTGTGATGGCAAAATGGTAGAATATCAGTTTCAGAGTGGTTTTAAGATCAGAAAGACAACCATTCCAATCCCCTCTTAAAATTCTTGAGAAGAAAAAAAATCAACTCCCAAATAGACCCTTATGATGGTATCATAGCATCACTGAATGGGCTTTCATAATCCTTCAGAAGGTTGAGTCTCCAATCTTCAAACTGCCCATCCTCATGTCACCTTAAACTTGTCACCTAAAGACAGCTGAATAGATGAACAATACCCCAGAGGTTGGGTAGATAAATAGAACAATATAATAATGAAAGCATTATTATATATATTGTCATGCAAATTTAGCTGTTGCTAGTACAATGTCTCAGGGGTGTTTTCATTTACTTTTCCTCTTTTAAACCGAGTGGGTCCAACATAGTAAAAAAAAAAAAATGGTTAAGACTGAAGCGCCAAAAGGCTGCCATAACAGAGCTGAGATTTTGAGCTCTGCCAAAGAAAATTAGTCTCTGAAACCCAACCCGCCCCCTCCAATTCCTAAACATGGAGAACCATCAGCTGCAAGATCAAATCAGCTAGGCTAATTTTAATGGCCTAGCTGATATATATATATATATATATATATATATACACAATGAACAGCATGTTAATGCTCTTAAAGCCAGTAGTTCTTAAGTTTTGGCATAACCTGGGGTTAATGGAGCAAATTGTAACTGCTTGCTTGTTGAGTCAAGCATTCATTTTGGGTTTGCTGCAGCTGAGACACTTAGGTGTGTTGTTGTTTATGAGAATAATGACATTATTTGAGATGGAAAAAGAGTAAAAAGTAATGGGACATTCATTCATTCATATTTTATTTTATTTTATTTTATATGCTGCTCGTCTTGGTTCTGAGTTTAAGAACTTAATTTTGCTCTTTTTGCACATGTATTGTGACATCACACATATAAAAAAAGACATTGTCGTCTTGACAAAAAAAATTCAACCCTGCAGCCGCCTTGGGCTGGGAAAGTTGCTAAAAGGCTATCTCCCACCAATTGTTTCTTTTACAAGGTTATCAGCTCATTCTTTTATTAAAACTTCTTTTTTATTTCCCAACTAACAGAAAGGATTCCCAATATGTGTTCTATGAAGCAAAGGGTGATTGGGAGAGAGCCAAAGCCTGGGCTAAGCCAAAAAGCAGGCCTCTTTATTAGGTACCATCCACCTTTTTCCCTCACTGTGACTGAAGATTTTTGCAAAAAAAAAAAAAACAAAAAAAAAACCAGAGACAGATTGGTCTAATGTTGAAGTACCAGGTTTGAAGCCAGGAGACAGTGAGTACTAGTCTCGTTGCAGGCATGAAAGTGGCTCTATGAGTTTGGGCCAGTCACTCTTCTCTCAGCTTAACCCGCTTCTTAGGGTTGTTGTGGTGAAGAAAACAGGAGGAGGAATGGGTATTTGCCACCTTGAGTTATAATAACAATAAAGCACGATATAAATAAATAAAAGTGAACTTATAATTTATGGTTTTGATGATGAGACAAGCTATATTATGAGAAAGAAAAGAATAATGCTATAACCTTAAAATAAGAGGTAAATTTATAATTGTACTTATAAACTGCTGTAAAGAAGTTCAGAAGTCATCGCTGTGTATTTTTTCTTTCTTTTCTTTTTGAAAACCTTTTTTCCTTTCCTGCGCTTTTAGCTTTCTTTCTGATTTCTTTCTTTTCTTCTTTTAACATTATATTAGCTTGTATTCGTTTTATCTTCCTCCTAAAAACTTGTAATACCATTGCGTAAAAAAAATAATAGAACGTTAAATAATATTAAATTATTTAAATACTTATTTAAATAAATGTTACTAGTTACATAAATATTACATAACTACATACTAATGCTAATTACATTAATATATTCTAGGTGAATAAAAACGCCATAACCAATCTCAACATCTGACTTGTCAGTGCGACGAACCATAATAATAATACATTTGGTTGACTGTGCGATCAACCACAACAAAGTCATTTCCCTTAGGTTGCATTTGCAACTGTCTTCTGCTCTATTTATGAATTGCATTAGATTCCTCGGGTTGTTTCTCAGCTCACTTTTCTCTTGGTGGATTTGGGAGGCGCTGAACTGGAGAGGCTGTTTTTAGGACGAGAGAAGTTTGATATAAGTAATAAATTCGACGTTTTTAATTTGAAACGAGAACTTCAATCTAGTCTGAAGACTGAGAAAGGAAAGATACTGTAGGCTAGTTTGCGACCGGAGTAAGTAACAGAGAATCGAAAACATTTGCATCGTGGTTCCATGGTGTAATGGTTAGCACTCTGGACTCTGAATCCAGCGATCCGAGTTCAAATCTCGGTGGAACCTGTCGCGTAAATCTTTTTACGATAATTCCCGATTCCATTTTATGGACGGATTGGGAGAAAAAAAAAGGAAGAATTAAGAAAAATATATCTGAAAACTAAGAGTAGTCTAAAGGTCAATATTCTTTCATTTTGACTTTATGGATAATAATCGAAAAACCATGTTGCAATCCGGTCGTTTGGTTAAAAGGGCTTTTGAGTTATGCTTTTTAAAAGAACAGGGAATAGTTTTCACTGTAGTATTTCAAATGTTAATTGCTCAACAGAGGATTGTCAATCTGAGAAAAGCTTTATTGTACAAATGTTACACGTAGAAAGGCAATTCAGATTGCAAAGGGAAACGAATAGGACGTGCTAATGGAGGACTTTTCCAAATAGATGTTCGTCTCGTGGTTCTATGGTGTAA